CATACTTAAAAAACCCTTCAAAATAAGACCTGAACTCCTTAGAATAGCGCAATAACTGCCATATGATTCCCAACCAAATCATCTGGAGTTAGCACAGACTTAAAGGTCAAGGGCACCGTTCTTAATAAGACTGCTCTCACTTCAGATGCTAGCCACAAGTTCAGGGGTCCTGGGACTACCCACACTTCTGACCAACTGGCTACAAATTCAAGGGTTCCCTCAACCAGCTAAGGTATGAACTCTCAGGAAAGTGGCCTGCTTGACAATTATAGTTTGATCACAAAGGATACAAAGCAGTACCAGACAGATGAAGCGACTCAAAAGGCGAGGTCTGGGAGCATCCTGAATGTGGAGCTTCAGTGCACTTTCCTCGTGGAATCGGGATGCACCACCCTCCCCCACGTTGATACAGTCACCAACCAGGAAGCTCGCTGGAGCCTTGGTGTCTCGAGTTTTATCAAAGTTTCATTATGCAGGTGTGATTGAACTCAATTTCCACTCCTCTCCCCTGCAACCCTGGAGGTCAGCTGGCTCAAAGCCCCTGCCTTCTAATCTTCCAATCACATGGTCCTTGTGCAGCTCACATCCTGAGTCTTATGGTCAGTATAAACTCAGGTGTGGTCAGGGACCCACCATGAATAACAAAGAATCACTCAGGAAATTCCACGGATTTAGTGTTTACCTCTGAAAAAGAACCAGGGACAAAGAGCAGACATGTTCCTCATGGTACAGTGCATGGCATCGGGGGCCTTCAGGTCCCACCCCAGCCAGTCTTCCCAGGCTCACCCAGCCTCCTCCTCCTCCCTGCCCCCGCTGAGAGTCCTTGAACACACCTTGCCACCCTGCACGAGCTCTTTCCTCTGCCTCCACTTGTTTTCTTCTTGGCATGTCCAGTGAATTCCTCCTCATTTGTCAAGACAGGCGGGCAGCTCCACCTCCGAGGCGCCCTCCTGGGCACTGGACACCCACCTCCCCAGGGCTGGCAGCACTCTCTGTTCATTTATAGATTATCTTTGCACTTACGTCTTCGGGTCTCAGTTGTTTGTTGGGTTTGTCTGTGTGTGCTGTTGGCACATAGTGGAGTGACTTACTTTACTGAATAGGCGTTTTGTGGAGCTTCGTCTTTATTACCTGAAGTTACACTTGTCTTTTTAGAAAGTGTCCCTTTCCCCTCCTTGGCTGCCCTTTTCAGCACCTCGTGCTCTAGCAGAGTGGCAGCTCATCATTATAAACCTCCTGGCTACTGGTGGATGATGAAACGGCCATTGAAAACCTTGTGGCTGGCGGTCCCGTCTGGCCATTTGTATTTGGAGAACTTATGGATAACACCGATGAGATGGCACAAGGAAGGTTTGCTAAGTACCTAAGAAATAAAGCATAGTTAAGAATATCATGATCCCATTCGTTACATGAAGTATTATACACCCCATATATGTTTATGAGATTTGTTTAAAACCGAGAGATGCTTATGTATTATATGAGGAAGAATCATAACTATGATGAGAAAATGAACTCATAAACTAAGACACCTGAAAAGCATAAAAGAAAGAAAAGGTCTGTATGGAGACACTCAAAATAGTGTTTGTCTATGTGTAATGGGAATTGGGTGATTATTGCCCATCTTTTTATACTTTCCTGTTTTGAGAACTTTTTCTGTATTGAGCATGTATGGCGTGCTTAAAATGGAAGGGGAGGATAGGTCCTGTGTTCGTAAATAGGCAGGCACAGGTGAAGTCAATTTATCTTAGATACTTGCACCTGCAAGTGGAAATTTACAGGTGAAAAAAAATCACACTTTTGCTTTTTTTGGCTATGAGAGGAGGCAGTGAAAAGGGCCGTGCAGATGGGAATGAAGGGGGAGAAAATAAACCAGCCACTCCTGCCCCACACTTACGAGACGTGTGACCACAGCCAGGAGACTTGCCAGAAAGATGAAAGTCAACCAGATAAATGAGTTTTTACATGGAGACTGAGATCAAATCAGTTCTTAAAATGTCACTTTCCTAGTCAGAGAAAGGCACCGTGGATGGCAGGGATTTAATTATCTGCTTAATAAAAAATTATAAAAATATAAAAGATTTATGCTGTTTCATCGGTCTCTTTCATTGGCAACAGAACAGGGAACAACTATCCCTTTCTGGGAGAGCGCTAATCACAACAAAGACGAGAATACTTTCAGAGCTTGGGGAAGAAGTGTTAAGAGTAAGCTTAAGAAAATTCACTTAACCTTTTAAAACTCTGGTTAAAATTACTTTTATCCAAGGCTCTTAAAGATGCCCCTCAGCTGACCACATGAACCTAAGTGAGGCTCCTCCTGAAGAGTTTAAAGATTCGAAGTGGTAACACCATTAACTATTGTTGCTGACATTAATTTCTATGCAATTTCTCAGATCTTTACATATTTCAGGCCGATTCTTGAATATATGAATTGGGATTAGGCATACAAATTGGCTAGTTTAGCTGTGATTTAAGAACTAATGCTGGGGGCTGTGTCCGTGTATGAAGGTATTTCCAACCTGAGCTGTTCCTACTCTCATTACCCAACTTAAAAAAAAAGAAAAGAAAAGAAAAGAAAACTTGGGGACAGGGGAATGCAGATCATACCAATGAAGTGGTTAGGGTTCTTTTATTTTCTTGCTGGTATCTCTGGTTTCCAAAGGCACATTTTCTTTCTATTACTTCAGAGGAATTACCAGTGAATTCCTTGAGACTGAGTGTGTTGATAGACCAGTTTCTCCTGTTGGCCTGAGTTAGTGAGGATTCTTTCCTTCTTAAGATGAAAGGAGTTTGCTTTTACATGTTCTGGGTAGCCCAGTTTAGAAGTCTCACTCATCACTGAAACTACCTGGGATACCTCCAGACTCTGGGATTATGACCTTGAGTGTGGAAATGGTGTCATTTACCAGTTCATTCACTTTATCATTCTGTATTACTTGGGTCCCCTGGTTGTAAAGGACAAAAAGTCAACTTGAATCTGTTAAACTGAAATGTGGAATGCACCCTAAGGACATTGGGCTGGTTCCCAAGATCCAAACATGGGAATGAGGCTCCAGGGACAAATAAAATGAGAGTTCCAAAATCTCTGGGACCCTCTTCTCCAGCTGACATCTGCTTCCATCCTTCTCCTTCCACAGACAGGCTTCCGCGGCTCCTCCACCAGCTCCTGGGCTATTAGGTCTTGCAGCCCAGACACGCAAAGACATACAAGCTTCTCTTTTTCAGTCATAGTTCCAAAATCCCTAGAAGAGAAGATCTCTTGGTTTGGTTTGGGTCAGAGCTGGGCCGAGCACCTACCACCTGGAAACATGGGCACGTTGAGTCACACATACTTACCTTGACCAACCAACCAACCAGATGGGGCCGAGACAGGGAGGCCACACTGTACTCACATGACCACCTTGTAAATTCAGAAAGCAGGGTGCTAATCAAGCAAAAGGTGTTCACTACCTTTCTTTTTTTCTATAATATCCTTCTGCAGAAGTAAATGGGAATCATGTAAGTGCTATTTTGCCAAAAACAAGCACTGAGCACCTAACTTACCTCGTGTCTAACTGCGTCTTGGCAATCCTTTCATTCTATGACATTGCTTAAGGGCCCTTTTTTCTTCAGTTTTCAGCCCTTACTCGTGCTTACCTCTTTTTCATTCTTCCTGGCCAGTCCGGCTACTTAGTCTACTGAGATCAAGACCGTACATCATTTCTCGCCCAACTCCTCGGCTATTAAAACAAAGCCCATTTTCATACATCTCTACTGCACAATTTTCCCTTTCCCCCTTTTCCTTCACATAGCTTTTCTTCCTCCAGTTTCAGAGAAAACACTCACTCTTGTCAGTGCTCAGAGGCGATCAGGATCTGTGAGAGATGCAGACTAAAGCAAGTAGGCGCCAGAAGAGAAATCTACCGATTTAGACGAGTAATCTCGGCTACAAAGAACAGAAATACTTAAACGTGGTTGAGTGGTTCATTCTCTTTCTTTAGTCAAGCCACATACAAAGCCAAATCGTAATCTGAAACCATTTTTAGTTTATTCTAAGAAATCTCTATCTAACTCTAAAGATCTTTGAACTCCCAGGGATTCAAAAAATAGTTTTTAATTTATTTATTTCCGCCTGCAAATACTATGTATGCATTTCTAATATATAAGAACTTTAAAAAGTAACTTTATTGCCATTAGCTCATCTAACAGAATTAAGAATTACTTGATGTCACTGAATACTCTGCTCACCTCTTATTTTTCCATCTGTCTCAAAAAGGCCTTTTTACAACGTGTCCAATCAGAATCATAATGAGGTCATATACTATATTGCATTTGGCCTCCAGATGCTTTTCAAATTCTTGCAAATTCTTTGCAAGATGCCTTGCAATCTTCCACCCCATTATGCCATTGATTTGTTGAAGAAACTGGGTTGCTTTTTGTAATTTCTCATATTCTGGATTTGGCTGATTGCTTCTAGGTTGTACGAAGTCTTTGAATTGTTTTTTTATCCCCTACATTTCTAGCAGGCTTGATTTTTATTTATTTTTATTTTTTAGAAGAATCCTTCATAGGCCAATAAACATATTTTCTAACCACCAAAGACTTCATTGGAACTTGCAATCTTTTTTTGTTGTTCCTATATTTAAAATGGTAAATATTTTAAATTTAAATATTTAAAATTTTAAATATTTTAAATTTCGATATCTTACATGGCAATCACAACTCACTTTTATTAAGTGCTTTCCACGGGCCAGGCATAATGCTAACTAAACTATAAGCTCATTCAATCTTACAACTATTTTGTAGACGAGGAAACTAGAGCTTAGAGAATTTGATTAAGTTAACCCAGTTAGTAAGTGATGGTATGAGTTCAGCTGTGGAATTGGAAATCCCCGCTTCGTAACACTTCCGGCTCTGAACAATTAATTACTTCTTTCCCGGTCTTCTCAGAAGCCCTCAGGTATCAATGCCTGGGAAGTGGTCCTCCCGAGGCCCGGGCCCTGCCCCTCCCCTCTCCTCCCTACCCTTCCCTGCCCCACCCCACCCTACCCCGCGGGTCCAAGGCTTGACGGTTTGAGAACCCGGAAAACCACATTTCCCAGAGCGCATCGCGACCACGAAGGTCGCACTACTGCCGTGCGTTCGCCGGCGCCGTTTTTTGTAGAGGGGCAGAGTGGTGCGGCCTGTGATCATGGCGCTGTTCCCGGCCTTTGCGGGTGTTAGCGAGGCTCTCGATAGCGGGAGCTCCAGGAAAGGTAAGCACACAAAAGGGACGAAGAAGGCGCTTGGCCCCAGGTATCGGCCCTGGCTTTGGATGTTTATCCACTTGTATCCCAGAGTTCTCCGCGGCGGTGCAAAGCCTTCTGGGAAGGGCTCTCGTCCGCGCCCCGGCTTTTTTGGGACTAGAGTTGAAGAATTACGGAAGGACGAAGACCTAGGAGATCCCCCAAACCGTTTTTCTATAAGCTTCAGTTACTTCACCTCAAGTAGACTCCTGGCGCAAATGCTGGGTGTTCTTAATGCTCTCTTTCCTGTTTTAGTTATTTCTGAATGTTTATTGGGTTTAAATCTGTAGGCAGGCCTAGAGCTATGGGGATTAAGGACCCAAAGCCTGCTCGGTTTCCTCTCCACAGAGGCACAGCTGCTGGGAATAAGAACTAACATTTATTTATTGAGACCCTACCGTGTGTCAGGTGATGGCATCACATATTTTATTTAAGCCTTCAAAGTCCCCGGGTTCATATTAAATGTTGAGGCGCGGACAGTCATACCTCGTAGATGTTGAGGGTTTGGTTCCAGACCACCGCGGTTAGGGGACTGTAACCTTGTTGCTGTTGGAGGGTCTTGCATTTGTAAACAACTCAATATCTGTGAAGCACAATAAAGCAAAGCTCAATCAAAGGCGGTATGCCTGTAGTGAATTGCACCTGAAGGTGATTCTAAGTCATCCACTTATGTGGCAGAGCCCAATTGTGTCAGAGACCTCTCTTACGTCCTTCCATTTAGCTTCTACACCTATTTTTTCGTAGCAGTTATCATAATTGTAATCAATTTCTTATACAGTGTGAATTTTGGTCATTCTTTAGTAACTGTACCCTCCATGTGGTCAAGGACAGTGTCTAGACTCTGTAGCATGCTTAGCCCCTTGCAGGGGCCCAGAATACAGGTATTTGATAAATACTTGCTGAATGTACAGACCAGTGGTAGGTACTTAACACAGAAATAACAGGACAAGGTAGGACGTTAGAGATGTTATAGGTGAACTACAGGAATAATGGCTTCGATGGGAGGTTCATAGAAGGCAGGGGTGGCCCACCTTTTGGTGTCTCTGGGCCACACTGGAAGAGGAAAAGTTGTCTTAGGCCCCACATTAAATACATTGCGACATGTACTAAAAAAAAAAATCTCACATTTTAAGTAAATTCACGGTTTTGTGTTGGGTCACATTCATACCTATCCCGGGCTGCGTACGGCACACCCCTGGAAGACTGTTTATAGGAACTAACTTTAGGGATGGGTCTTCAACAAGGTAGGAGCTGGATAGAAAGATAGTGGAAGGGCATTCCAGGGCCTGCAAAGGCATGCAGGAAGGGAAGGAGACCAGTGTAGAGAACTGCAGATGCTCCAGTGTGTCTGGACATCAAGAGGCATAAAGAGGCCTTGGGACTGGTGGTTAGGGAGGCTAGTGGCTTGAATACCAGGCCAAGGGTTTATCCTTCTGTTTTGGGAGGATGAAGTGGAAAGTTTATAAGAGAGTGTTGCTCTTGTCATTTATTGTAACCAGTATTTATTGGACATCTGGGTACCCGGCATCAGGGTAAAGTTTGGAAAAGTGCTGTTTGTAAAGTACTGTATTAAAAAAAATTTAAATGCAACATTATTACTGATAATGAAATTAACTATAATTCTTTAATGTCATTTAATTGTCGATGTTCAGATTTCCCAACTTGTCTCAAGAATGGCCTTTCACAGTTGGTTTGTCCAAGTCAGGATCCAAAAAGATCCAACATTGTATTTCGTGGACATGTCTCTTGGGTCTCTTTTAAATATAAAAGTCTCTTCCTCCCCTCCATTTACCCCTGTGATTTATTTGTTGTGGAAACTGGGTCATTTGTTCTACACACACTTCCTACCAAATCCTCATGGTGTCATTTAATATGCTTCTCTATCCCAGTATTTCCTGTAAACTAGTAATTAGATCTAGAGAGTTAATAAGATTCAGGCATAATTTTTTTTTTAGTTGAAAACACCTCATTGGGAGTGCTCTGCACTTGATGTTGAATCATATCAGGAGGGTCTACTGTCTAGTTTTCTCTCCCTTGGTGATGTTAAGATCCATCCGTTTTAGTTTTTTATAAACTACTCTCCCACCCCCAACACCCCACCCCCGAGCTCCCTTATGGCAAAGCCTTAATTGCATCCTTAAAACCCTTTCTTGTACCTTCTGAAAGACTTTGGGAAGTCACACGCACTTTGCTGTTGTTTTTCTTTTTTGACATTTGTATTACTTTATCTTTCCTCCCAGCTGTCATCACCATCTGGAATCTTTGTGTAAAAAGGTACTGGAATTATTTGAGAGCATCTCTCCTTCCATATTGTTTCATCTTCTCCACTTTTCCTGTGTTCATTCTAGAATCCAGTTATTGTGGAAATAACTGTGATCTCAGAGAGCAACAGGAACTGTTTTCATAGGCCTCTTGCCAAGAGTTAAGCCCAAGGGAAGGGAACCAATCTCAGAAGGAAAAAAGAGACAGTAGAAGAAAGATGGTGTGAAGAGTTGTTTAGCCCTTACTGAGTATGACCCAACATATTACTTACTCCCTGAGAGCCTGTTTCCTCTTCTGTACAGGAGAGATCAGGACACCTCCAGTACAGGGTTGCCTCGGGGATTAAAAGATAAAGGATGTAGAGTGTTAACCTGGGCCTTGGCCTATTGTAGGCACTTTGTAAATTAGGATCCCTCTCTTTTCCCTTTTCCTGTGCTTTTTAAATTCCTACTACTGTATGCCAGACATTGATTCCACTGTAGGGTTGAAGCAGTAAGTAAAATCAAGTACCTGTCGTCAGCGACTAGTATATAGAATATATAAAGAACTCTTACAGCTCAGTGATTAAAAGACAATCCAATTAAGAAATAGACAAAAGATTTGAATAGCTGTTTCTCCTCTAGTATGAATGGCCAATAAACACGGGAAAAGTGGCTCAACATCTGTAGTCTCCAGGGAAATGAAAGTCAAAACTACACTGAGAAAAGACATCGAATGACTATAATATAAAAGACACCAACATGTTGGCAAGGATGTGGAAGGTTGGAGTCCTCATACATTGTTAGTTAAGTGTAAAATGGTACAGCCAGGTTGCAAAACAGGCGGGCAGAACTGCCAGAATGCTACTGTTACCCAGCAATTCTGCTCCTCGATACTTACCCAAGAGAAATGAAGACATATGTTCATAAAAACGAGCACATGAATGTTCACAGCAGTGTTATTCATAATAGTTTCACAGTGGAAACTACCGAAGTATCCACCAACTGACGAATGGATAAAATGTGGTATAATCCATGAAATATTATTCAGCAATAAAAAGGAATAAAGTAGTGATACCTGCTAAATCATGGATGAACGCTGAAAACATCAAGTGAAAAAAAGCCAGTTACAGAAGACCATATATTGTATGATCTTGTTTAAATTAAATGCCCCAAATAGCCACATCCGTAGAGAAAAAATACTAGTGGTTGCCTAGGGCTGGGAATTGGGGTCGGAGAGTAGGGGGTGGGTGATGGAGAGAGTCTGCTAATAGGTATGGGGGTTTTGGAGATAATGAGAATGTGCTAAAATTATTTTATGGTGGTATTGTGCCATAGTCTAAGTACTCTAAAAACTTGTGAATTATACCCTTTATATGGTTGAACCTTATGCATAGTATATAAATTATGTCCCAGTAGAAGTGTTAAAAAATCTAATTACCCTTCTCTGTCTCTCTAAGATTTTATTTATTTACTTTTAGAGAGAGGAGAAGGGAGGGAGAAAGAGAAAGAGAAACATTGATCGGTTGCCTCTCATGTGCCCCAACTGGGGACCTGGCCTGCAACCCAGGCACATGTCCTAACTGGGAATCGAACTGGCCACCTTTCAGGCTGTCAGTCAGTCCACTGAGCCACACCATCCGGGGCCCTTTTCTTCCAACTGCGACCATTTCATGGGTTCTTTCTCCTCAGCATAGGAATGTGCTCTGGGCACTCATCCTAAAACAAAACGGTGAATTAACCCCTGCTGCCACGGTCCCATGCTCCTTTCCTCTCCTTCATAGCTAAGACCCTTAAAAGTAAAAAAATAAGTTATTTAGAAATAGTTCATTGTAGAATAGTTAGAAATTAATTTCTAACAGCAAAAAAAATCAGACATTTAATCTCAGCACCTATAGATGTCATTGTTAACATCTTGTATAATTTTAGCATTAGTTAGAAAAGTTGACACCTTGTGTTTTTTTCAAAGAGGAGTACTGGTTATTCTAAGGAGTGGTTTATGTTAATACCTAACTAAGATAGAATATGGGAATATTGTTTTTAAAGAAAAGTATCATAATCTTCTGTAATAATTTTAAGCATGGTAGGCTATTATGCATGGTTTGATTTTTAACTTTTCGGAATGGCCTACATCAAATTTGAGGTCATTAAAACCTAGTGCTTCGAAGCTCTCATGCTTGTTAGAGTGTGGAGGGGCTGCCCGGAGCATCGTTGCCTTTTAGGCCACATTTGTTACGTGGCTTTTGCTGAAGCCCCAGCCTGATACCACAGAGGGTTTCGGTCTTAAGTGTTTTGGAGTGTGTGAAAGCCCCGAGCCCTGTGAAATAAAAGTTTCATGGATTCCCTTTGGGTTCCCGCGGGAACCCCCGTGGGCTGTCATGAACGCTTGGCTGACATTGGCTGTGAGTTAGGATGCCAGCCGGTAAGATGGATTTCCTGCTTCAGAAGCCGTACTGAGCTTATTTCATTGATCTTTTCTCTTTTTGCATGTGCAGAATTAGATTGGCTGAGCAACCCAAGCTTTTGTGTTGGGACCGTAACAACTCCGAGCCAACAAACCGAAGAGGCCACAGTGCTCCTTTCTGACGGGTCACCGCTGACGAGGTAGTATTTTTGGTAGAGGGAGTATTTGGTAGAGGTAGTATTTTTGACTTCAGTCTTTGTCATGCACCATTCCGTGGCTCAGCTCGAGTGGTGCTCCTCAGAAAATCCCGGGACAGAAGAGCTCATAAACTGTTAATGAGGTGGCCTTTGCCTCTTTTCCCTTACCTCACCCTTACAGATTCGTCTTTTCTCCCCGTTGCATTGCAGTGGCAGCTGCGTGACACAGTTACTGCCGGTAATGAGGCCGTCAGGGAAATGGAGTTGTTGTGGTTCTCAAGTAACTTTACTGGGCTCATTAGTAACCTTTAGAATATTGACAAACATGGAATTCAGATAGTTCCACCGCATCGGTAAAAATAGGAGGAGCTTGTGTAATGTAATGTGGGGAAGGGAGAAATTCCCCCTTCCCTCCTCTGGTTCTTTCTGGCTGGCCAGATAATAAACCAGTAGGAGGCAGGTCGACAAGAGAAAGTCAAATTTAGTATTATGTGCATGGGAACCCCACGTATGGGACGGATCCAGAGACCCCGGGTGTGTGAGCGGTTCAGAGGCAGGAGGGGGGATTGAGGTGTGGAGGATGTCCCGAGTGCGGGGTGAGGTAAGGCCCCTCGGGGGCTTCAGAAGGCCATTGCAGATGCCCAGAGGGGCAAACAATTCATAAACACAAGTTTGCCGTGCCCTATAATTGTGTCAAAAGAAGTTACCTCTGATCATCTCTCATGGGCGTGGCCCCTAATTCAAATTCTTCTAGGTAGTTTAGGGAAAAGGGAGAACTTTCTCTTGAGCCAGAAGCTAAAATTGCCTTTAGCTCAAACTAATCTGCGTACCCCTGAGGCACATCTCGGGGCAGCTCGTCCAGGACCCTGATGGGACACACGCTAAAATCTCATGAAAACTTGGGGCAACGCGCAGTGGTGCACATTTCTACCAGCTTTGTTGCAGATCACTGAATTGAGAAATGGGCTCTCTGGCCGCTAGAGACCAGATGGTCTGTTAACATGACGAACCCCGGAAGCCAGGGACTCTGCAGGCGGAAGCAGTTTTCGGAAATTGGGAGCAGTTAATGCATGAGAGGGAGTGGTTTGTGGGCCCTTCAGTAATGATGATGAGCTCATATAACCGTTAAAAACAGGGAGTGGAATTAAAGCTTTTTTTTGTTTTTTTTTGCATTAAGAACATGCTGGTATAATATGTAGGACTGAAAATAAATCTTTTATAATGTTGTTTTAGAAAGACTATAGTTGATAAAATAACTGTAGATGACTTTGATTTAAAAATGTACGTATATGAAAGTATAGGTTTAGAAGCTAAAGTCCGCGTGAGCATTTTTAGAATTTCCTTGTATATTCTCGTGTATTTGTTTGATTACTTATTTACATATTTTCCCTAATTCTCTTGTGCAAACCCTAATGTGATTTTTTCACCCAGGAGTCCCGTGAAATCAGACCCTTCAGATGACAGTGACGCGAACAGAAAGCTCAGACAAACCGGCAGAAAGAAGAAGAGAGAGAAGAAGAAGAAAAGGAAGCATCAGCACCACAAGAAAACCAGGAGACGCCGTGGGCAGCCGGGCGGCAGCGCGTCTGAGTCTGCGTCGGACGCTGGCTCTGACCGGGACGGGTCTTCCAGAGGCAGCAGAGACGGCAAGAGAGAATCGGGGAAGCCGAGGTACGTTCTCCGCTCTCTGGCACCTGTGATGTTCTGCTGTGAGTCTTCGGTTCTCCTCCCTCACTTCTGCCCCAAGTTACATACTCGTGCGATTGTTTAACTCAGTCAAAACGGAGTCAGTAAATATCTCAGTAAAGCTGGGAAGAAATAGAGCTCACATTTGGTCAGCCTTAAAAAAAAAGGGAGAGAACTTCAACAAATTAGAGCCATGATTTTGCTCAAGAAATGTTAACTGGATACAGCAATGAGCGTGTTGAAATGTGATTTATACAAAAAGTCTTTGGGAATTTTGAAAGATGGCAAATGTGCTGCCCATTGTGTGTAGGGGCTAGTTCACTGGGAGCGGCCCTTGGCCTCCACACTTACAGGGAAATGTCTTCTCTTCACGGTGAAGTAGCTTCCTTTCCCATTACCAACCCTCCCCTCCCCCACTCTTTGCCAAAGGTTAATCGTAGCCCTTAACATAGCCGTTGGTTTTGTCCTTTTCTCCTTCACATTTGTTTGGACACTGTTGAAGGTCCAAAGTAGCTCAGGACCATGGTTCTCCCTTCCTTGGGCCTTCATTTCCCCATTTGTTGCACAGGTGTCTCCCTGCAGCATAGTCTTCAGGTCATTCTGCAGAACGGTCACAGTGCCAGGAGCTCAGCTCGGTCACAGCCCCTCCTCTCTGCCGAGGGTGACACCCTCCTGCTTGGGGAGGCACTTGGCACAGGGTTGGGACAGTCAGTATGTGGTGCAAATACTTGAATTATTCCTCGTGTACCCTTTTTTCTTTGTTCACATAGTCGAGAAGAGAGAATAGTTAAACACCTGTCCAAAGCATACTAAGAAAGTTAGTGTTAGTAAGATTTTTGCAATTCTTTTGCGATATGATTTGCTTTTGGGTGCTTAGTCGCCCCGCTGACGGCAGAGATGCTCCATGTCTGCATCAGAGAGGCCAACTCCGCAGTCTCCCAGGGTCCTGCTGTCGTCTGTCCCGTGCCAGCCTCTGGGGTCTCAGGTGCCACACCTGTAACCCAGACTTGCTCTAGGAGGAAAAATAAAGGGGCCAAGCAAAAGGTCTAAATTTGACTGAATTTATGTGGACAGGGACCGTGCCCCCTTTACTGGCCATGGCATGTCCCGGCCTTTGCACAGGGCCGATACATGGTAACATGTCCTGAAAACATTTCCATTATGTGAATGAATGACTATACAGAGTCTGGCACAAGTAACGCCCCCGGTTTCCCGGTTTCTAATTACAAAATCATAGGCATGTAATTCCTTAACGAAATAATGTCACACTCAAGCTCACCATATGGCATTTTGGGTGAAATGTCTCCAGAGGCTACAGCTTCTCATTGACCTTTGTTTCCTGGGATGGCTTCCTCCTCACCTTCAGGGGCAGGCCCCTCCCTGTGCACAGCCTGACCACATGCTGCGTCCTGACCTCAATTCCCAACAGGGGAGGGATAAGAGCTTGTTGACTCCCCAGGGGTGGTCTGCAGCTGGCCCTTCCTTTTTTTTTTCCACCCTCAGTTGGCTTTCTGGAATGTATCACTCTCTTTCCCTCCGTCATTGCCCCTTATGGTTTTCATTGACAGAAACCCTCCACATTTATTCTAGAGGAACAACATCATCATGTTATGTTAACATTACCATGTATTTTAACCTGAGATGAGGCACTCAAATAGTTATTGAATTGCTACCTCGTGTCCCCTAAATACCATTCTCTTGTATTCCCAGCCAAGAATGACTTAGAGGCTTCCAGAATCTTATTTCTGTCGGGGCAGAACTAAAAACCAGAAGGAACGACAATGGCTGCTGTGACCCCCTGGGCAGTGCCTGTGTCAGCAGCATCGTGAGCTGATTTTCCTTAGAGGAGGAAAGCCGTCCGATGCCCCCAAATCCTCCCCCCACCTCGTTTGGCTCCTAGGGACGTGCTTCCATTTGCATCTGAGATGCAAGTCTGCCGACTCACAAGCTGGTTCAAAGGGGTAAATCGGGGTCTGGCCTCACAGTGGCCTCTCTCTGCCCTTTACGTAGAACTCGGCACGCAGAGCCCAGGTTAGAAACATGGGGCTCAGACCAGGCCTGAGTAACGCCTGAGGCCGAACTGGTCACAGCTGTGGCTTTGCCGCTGTCATTGGTGAGTGTTCAGTTGGAATCAATAACCTGAGCACTTTTCAAGTGAGGCGACGAGAAAAACCGTGTACAAATACACGTGAAATTCAGGTTACAATAATTTAAGTGGAATACTTGAAAAAGAGCACCGCATATTCCTCAGGTTAATTTCCGAGGCGACTTCCTCTTTGGTAAGGTGCTGCTTGGCAACGACGGTTCTGCGTTCCATTTTGAGGCTGTTTTTTTGGAGCAGGTGCCCTCTTTCCGTCTGTGCGGCACGTAGGCCTTTCCGTCCTCAGCCCCCTTTGTGCTGCACAGAGTTCGAAACGCCTAACCTCCGAGTCTCGGCCGCTGTGAACCGTTTGACCAGCAGGTCTGTAACTACCTCTCCCTTCTTCCTCACCGTCCCTTGCCCCACAGTCAAGAACACAGTGCTGCTGCGCCCATCGGACGTCGCTGTGTCTGGCTGGAGGACCTCCAGGCTCTGACGGAAGAAGCCTTCAGAACCGATACGAAACCAGACCCTGCAAACTGGGAGTATAAGTCGCTGTACCGAGGAGACATAGCCAGGTACCTGTCCTGACCACCCCCCCCCCCCCCCCCCCCCCCCCGCCGTGGGACGTGACTCCCTTCTCCTGGGCACTCAGTACAGCCTCCTCTGCCTGGCCACGCCCACCCCCATGGGTTCTGTTGGGTTTTTATCCATTTCACATCCTAACGTGAAAATTTAACCCTTGAGGTCAGGGTCCAGGCCAGATTAACTGTGTGTATCCGTGGCACTCGGAAGAGTGCCTGGCACGGTACGTGTTCGGTAAGTGTTTGCTGAGTGAGTGAACCTAAAAATACCTTCGAATAATTGTGACAGACCATCTGGAAACCATCTGATCTAATGTAGATGCCATTTAAAAAAAGTTGCAAAAGCCTTTTACTTGTCTGCCCCCTGCCATGTGTGCCATTCGAATAATGACATTAAGTGGTAGTGACATTTTCACCACATGCGTACATCACCAGATAATCAATCGAAAGAAGAGGTGGCGGTGTTTGCTTCAGTAACGAGTTTAAGCTTTCCCCCTCTGCTCTTGTCAGTCAGCAGTATTTGAACACTGGCCCAGCCCTGCCAGGCACTGACTGCTCGTGAGGCCAGCGGTGCAGTCTGCCCCAGGCAGCGCACAGCAGTCAGCAGCAGAGGCCGAGAACCACGGCCCCGGGGCCCGGAGGGGGCTCTGCCCGGCTGCCACGTTCTGCGCAGGCTAGTTACCTTCCGAAACAAGTTTCAGTTCCCTCTACTGCGCTGCCCCTTTGAACTTGAAGCAGGTTTTCGCTCATGACATACCTCACCATGTAAGCAATTCCAACTAAAAGGGTCTTTATGGCGAGTTTATCGTAGTTATTTTTCAGTGCGTGTTTGTATCTGTATACTGCCTAATAAATCTCATGGCTGAGAGTAAATGATTACCATATTGAAAATGCATTTTAGATTTAAAAATTAGTGTCATACTCTCTACAGTCTCGTCTGATTTTCCACGCCACCACACGATGATGCCACAGATGTGGTGGAAACTCAGGAACAGTGGGAAAGCCAGCAAACACCCGTGGGGCACGAAGCGTGCGCCTCGGTCCTGAACTTGCTCGGTCACTCACGGCGGCCTGCCTCCCCCTCGTGGCTCCGTGGGGCGGAGGGCACTCTCATGCTTTGAGTGTGGGAAAGGAACCTCAGGGAGGGTCAGTGACTTCTCAAGGTCACGCACCACCAGTCAGCAGCAGAGTTGAGATTTGAACCTGTGTTCCTGTGGCTTCTCGTGTTCTCTCTCTGTCCACAGATGAGGCAGGTTATATGGTTGGGCATTTTCTAGACTGGGAAACCGAGGACTGGTTCTCGTTCTGACTTTGCCATTTACTAGTGACGTCATGCAAGGCTAGCCATGTAAGCCGTCTGAACCTCCGTTTCTGCGTTTGTAAATTGGGAATTGTAACTCTGGCTGTGCCTGACACTCAGATACCAGAAATATTTGATAGGGAGTTAGAAACTAGTGTGCACATATGAAGGGTTATTATTTAGAAACAGATGAACAAAGGAAAAAACCCTGACAATGAGTGGTCGAGCCTCTGCTGGTGCACGGCCCAGACCCTCAGGAGGAGAGTAGTTAGTGGAACCGCATTCACCTAAACTGCAGAAGCACCGCTGTCGGGGGCGTTGGGCGTTGGCGCAGTTTCTCAGGAACTTAGGAAAGCGCATGGGACGAGGGCCTCGCCTGGGCTCGCAGCTCTGCAGCTGTTGGTGTCCGGGTCTGGGGAGGCGTGGCTCCCGCGGCACCCAGGCTGGTCCGAAGATGGTGGGAGTGTCGCGCCAGGCACTGAATTTTCATACCCCAGAGGGACCCGGACAGACCGAGGGCACTGAGAGGGAGGTGGGTGGACGAGTCGGCCAGCCCTGGCACGTGTGGACTGGGCCACTGTGCCGGAAGCTGTGCCGCATTGGCAGTGTTCTGTGTAACGGGAAGGCACAGCCAGGGTGCATGGGTGGAGTGCGGGAAGTCTTTATGGATTGCTGTGTCTTTGGCTGTCCACTGATGAACTGCTTGGCTTATGTTTAGGAGCCGGGTTTTATAAGATAGTGATAGTTTAAACATACCTGCCCCTTACTGTATGGATAAATGTTTTACATGTATGAACTTCTCGGATCATCCCAGCAAGTCTGTGACCTATAGGAACCACTCATCATCCCCATTTTACAGACAAGGAAACTGAGGCGCAGATTTGTGTGCTTGTTTTAAGTAACTGGATTTGTGTGCTTGTTTTAAGTCACTGGCCACCCAGTGAGTGAGTGTTGGGATTCGGACCCAGGCAGTCGGTCTCTGGGAGGGGCATGTGCGTGCTGATGTCGCTGAGGGAGAGGCTGTGCGGTGCCCAGCCCGGCTCACTGTGGGACTCAGCCCGTTGGGTGGGCTCAGGGCAGGGTTGTGTGCTCGGCTTGAATACGACCTCTCCTGTACCCTCTTCCTCTTTAATCTCTTTTTTTCTTGTTTTCTTTTCCTTCCTTTCTTGATTCTTCTCTTCCCTCCTGCTCCCCCCTACCCCCCCCCCCACTTTCTTCTTTTTCTTTCTTTTGGTGGCCAAGTGCCAATAGCTGGGTTTATTTAAATTAAATGTCCATATGATGTCATTTCCTCAGCCTCCACAGTGGGAGCTCCTGTCTCTGGAATCATTCAAGGGCAGATTAGCTGATTATTGGATAAGGATTTTATAGAAGAAGCCTCTTCATTTGGGGGAATATTGAATTAAATTTTACCTTAGGTCCTGTCCAGTTACTAAGATTTTATGATAAATGATAAACTGACCACAATCTAAATGTCCACCAGTAGGGAAGTTGTTACATACATTATGGCACACCACTCTAATGGACCGTTTGAAGCCAATAAATATTATATTTTTTAAGACTAATGGTGTGGGGAAGTGCTTAAATATAGGGAGGAGCGCCTAAAGCTGTGCATCAGCTGTTTGAATGTAGAGCGTGTGTATATATGTATAAATCTATACATACACACATCTCTGAAGGTCGATAATAATATGGATCAGTAATATTCTTTATTATTTTCATCTAATTTGTTATGAAATGGAGCTATTAAAATCAATTTTACAAAATGCACTTTTAAATTCAGGAAACTCAGTAAATATTTTTTAGAGATTATACGAATATCTAAAATAGTGTTCATTTTCAGTGAAAATAAAGTAGTAATTAAGGAGAACAAAACTAGTTTTCTCACTTCAAAGTGGCTCCGTGGGGAGTGGGGGCTTATTCAGAGCCGTGCAGCGGCGCTGTGGCCTCCCCGCCCCGTCGCCTGCTGTTTGGCGCACAAATGGCCGGAGGGAGAGGGTGAGGTGAGGGGTTTGAGAGGCGCTCCTGCGTGTGTGCGAAACCTCTCTCCGAGGTGGAGCCCGCCGCACAGAGGCGGAGGGCTTCCCAGGTGCCGGTCAGCAGTGGGCAGGCGCAGGAGGTGTGGGCTCCGCCCGGGCGGGCGGGCGGGGGTGGAGACAGAGCCCCCTGGGGGTGACCGCAGGCGGCAGCCATCTCTGCTGCCTGTTCCTCCCCACAGCATTTTATGATGGAAATTTTAAGAAATGCAGCCCAAGTTGAAAGACTTTTACAGTGAAGCCCTGACATGCCACCCCCTACATCCTACCATTTTACTGTACTTCCCTTATCATATATCTGTTCAGTCCACAACCTTTCTTATTTAAAAAATTATTTATTGATTGATTTTAGAGAGAGGGAGGCAGAGGGAGAGAGAAACATTGATTTGTTGTTCCACCTATTTATGCATTCGCTGGTTGACTTTCATATGTCCCCTGACCAGGGATTGAACCAGCAACCTTGGTGTAGTGGGACGATGCTCTAACCAACTGAACTATCTGGCCAGGGAAACCCATCTTATTTTTTGATGTATTTCAGAGTAAATTGCTGACATCAATAAACTACCCCCTAAATACTTCAACATGGATATCATTGACTAGAGTGCAAGACTCGCTTCATTTTTCCTTTGGATTTAAAATTTACATATATTGTAATACGCAAATCTTTGCTTGCTGTATTTTGACAGGCATACACCTGGGTAACGTGCGCCTCTGTCGAAATGTGGGACCCCGAAATGGGACCCCGAAGGTTTCCCCCTGCTCCTCTCCTGTCAGTCCACACCCCACCTCTCCAGAGGCCATCACCTTTCTCGTTTTTTCCACCGTCAGTTTTGTCTATTCTAGAACGTCACAGAAACAGTCACACGGTGTGGGTCTTTGTGTCCGGCTCCCTCCACTCAGCAAGACGTGTCCGAGTTTCCTCCGTGTTGCGGTGCTCACGCCGCTTGTTTGCCCCTCTTCTGTCGGCGGACACCCGGGCTCTGTCCAGTCGCCCTGGGCTGTGAGGAGTGGATCTGCGGAGAACCTTGTGCCAAATCCTCTGTGGGCACCTGGTTCCCTTTTTTTTTGGGCAAATACCTAAGGATCAGAATTGCTGGGCCATAGGATGGGTCTGCGTTTAGTTCTTTTTATTTCTTTTTAAAGGTTTTATTTATTTTAGAGAGGGGGAAGGGAGGGAGAAAGGGGGGGACAGAAGCAGTGCTGTGCAAGGGAATCGGTCAGTTGCCTGTTGCATGCCCCCAACCAGAGGCCCGGGCTGCAGCCCAGACGGGTGCCCTGACCCAGAGTCAAACCAGCGAGCGACCTTTCGCTCTGTGGGCAAACCCAACCCACTGAGCCACACCGGCCGCAAATACGTTTATTTTCTAAAAGAAACTGCCAGACCTTTTCCCGAAGTGATTGTACCCGTTTAGCTCCCCGTCAGCAGCAGATGGGAGTCCTGGTGACGCTGCACATCGCTCACCGGCGTGTGGTGTTGCCTTTTTAATGTTGGCTGTTTGGGTGGGTACGTGGTGTCTCTTTGTGGTTTTAATTTGCATTTCCTTGATGACTAATGATGTTGAATACTTTTTTGTGTGTTTATTGGCCATTCACATCTCCTTTTGTGAATCCTGTTCAGATCTTCTGCCCATTTTTAAATTGGGTTGTTTATATAACACACGTACCGAAAAGTGCACAGTTTCCCTGAGCTTTTGTGCAGATACTCAGTAGTCATGTGTTTGTGGCTTTGGGGACGCCTACACGTTCCATAAAAGCATCTAGAACCAGCCTCTTTCCCCTAGAGCAGAAAATAGCCAGATGTAATTTTGTTTGACATACTTTGTTTCAGGATTAAAAAAAGAACCTCAGACCTACATGTTGTCTCTTTAAGTGGGGACACAGGACAGTGCCGAGGAAAAGGGACTGCTCGAGGACACGGCTGGCCTGGTGTCGCCCCAGGCCTCGGTGACTTTCTTTAGGAGCAGCATGAAAGGGGACGATGATATCCACCTTGCTTGTCACATGTGATTGTGATGGTCACCTGACGTCCCATAGGTGACAGTACTTGAACTGTGAAGCTCCAGGAAAATAGAAGTCACCAAGATCTAGACACCAGGCATGACCTTAAATTCATGAGGGGTTAACGAGGCCTCAAAGTTAGAAGAGTAAGTCAGAGGGGCAGAAAAAGTTAATTGCCAATCCTCACATTTCTTTAAATAGATGTAGTTTGAAGGGAAGGCGAATTTGAATGGATGCAGTTACCTTGCATAACAAGCCTTCAAGTCTGATGTGCTTTCACTCATTCAAAGCCAGTGCACATGTTCCCTCAGTAATTTTTTCTCTTTCTCAAATACAAGGTACAAGAGGAAAGGCGACTCCTGCCTGGGCATTAACCCTAAGAAGCAGCGCATATCCTGGGAGGGGGCTTCTGCGGCAAAGAAGCACTCACACAGGCGTGTCGAGCGCTACTTCACGAAGAAGAACGTGGGGCTGATGAACGCCGATGGGGTTGCCATCAGCAGTAAGACTGGACCTCTCTCATCTGAGCCAGTGTCCTTCATCCCGGTGAAGGGCTCGGACGATGCGGCTCCTCCCGTTACGACCTGGCTGAACCCTCTGGGGATTTATGATCAGTCCACCACGCAGTGGCTGCAAGGACAGGGTCCTTCAGAGCAGGAATCAAAGCAGCCAGACATAGAGCCAGACCGAGAGGATGCACTTCTCAAGGCCAAGGTGGAGGAGTTTAACAGGAGGGTGCGAGAGAATCCTCGGGATATTCAGCTGTGGATGGCGTTTGTTGCTTTTCAGGTAAGTGTCCCTGTCGCACTTTGCTTACTCACTGTGGCAGTCCTCATTTTGGGCAAAGCAATGTACTGTGCTGGTCTTTTGGAGCTCCTTCCTGTGAGGAACCCAGGCACTGGGCACCTAAAAGTTATTAGAATATAGGCCTTGCCCTGGGCTTTCCCAGAGTGGTGGCAAGACTGACATGTGAGGAGCATGTGCAGTCAGGGTGGTAAAGACTTTAATATGTGATTTGGGGATGGATGGGGGGTGACTTGCCATAGAGAGTAGTAGGGAAGGGCTTCTGAGCGAAGGTGACATTTGAGTGGAATCTGGAGAGGAGAGTAGCCCTTCCAGTAGCCCTGCGGGGGGAGGCATTCGGGGGTGCAGTCCCAGCACGCAGAGCTCACAGGGCGGTGGGGAGGGGGCTGCTCGCCCAGTGTCCTAGTCACAGCTGTGTGCTCCCTTTCTGAGATGCACGGGTTCTCTGAGTTCCACTTCGTGTTTGAGCCACTTAAACGACTATGTTCTGTCCCACATTTGACTGTTTTAATGGTAATGGTAAAGTGGACTCTCCAGAAAAGGGTTTCAAGGCGTTGCATGCTAGTTATTGATCCACAAGTCCAAGTGCTAAATGACAGAGGGGGCAGGCAGGGGAACACAGGGTCCAGTTTGCTCAGGGACACAGGCACTCAGGGAACTGAGTTTCCATCGGAAGAAATTGTGATGAATGAGACCTTCACAAAAGCCTGAATGGCGGTTCATTTTGAGAGGTGAGATACCCTTTGGGGCCTGTCGGTAACTTGAGCAGACTCAGAGGATCCCCTGTTGCCTTTGCATTTCTCAGTGGGTCTTTTTCTCATTGAGGACGAGGTCATGAAAAGCCCCGGCCTGTATGCCGTCGAGGAAGGCGGGCAGGAGAAGCGGAAGAGGTCCCTGAAGCTCATTCTGGAGAAGAAGCTGGCCATTCTGGAGCGAGCCATCGAGAGCAACCAGAGCAGTGTGGACCTGAAACTGGCCAAGCTGCAGCTCTGTGCGGAGTTCTGGGAGCCGGCCACGCTGCTCAGAGAGTGGCAGAAGCTGATCTTCCTACACCCCAACAATACCGCCCTTTGGCAGAAATACCTTCTGTTTTGCCAGAGCCAGTTCAGCACCTTTTCAGTGTCAAAAATTCACAGTCTTTATGGAAAATGCCTGAGTACTTTGTCGGCCGTGAAGGACGGCAGCATCGTGTCTCACCCCGAGCTGCCTGGCACCGAGGAGGCCATGTTTGGTAAGGAGACGGCGATCAGATCCATTTATGTGGGAGGAAATAGACTTTATTTATTCTTAGATGGGGAGGGAGGGAGAAAGAGAGGGAGAGAAACATCAGTGTGTGGTTGCCTCTCATGTGCCCCCCACTGGGGACCTGGCCCGCAACCCAGGCATATGCCCTGACTGGGAATCAAACTGGCGACCCTTGGATTTGCTGGCTGGTGCTCAGTCCACTGAGCCACACCAGCCAGAGCAGGAATTATACTTTTGACTGTAGTTGAAAATGAACATTTATTTTGGCTTATTTTAGAAAACTCTTAAGTTGATAAAGCTGATTGATAAGTTGATAAAATGGGTTAATCAAGAAAAAAGCCATTGGGATGCCTCTGGACCATGGCAGATTGTCCCCGCTCCAGCCCCTCGGTGGTGCCGGCGGGGGCACTGGAGGCAGCGGGTGAGGGCGATGCCACCGCCGAGAAGCGCCGCTGCTCTCACTAACCAGGGTGGCACGGTCGGGCTCTGGACCGCAGGCTGCCGATGGCCTTGTCCATTGTGACGCCTGTGCCACTGCCCTCACCCAGTTTTTGGGGTTCAGGCAGTGATGCTTATGGGGCACCCTGACTGACTAGAATCCTGTGTAGAGGTACAGGCCATTGATGCTGCACCGTTAACATTTTTGCTGTGTCCGGAAGGAGCCTAGGATGCTAACTCCGGTCATGAGATAGCAGAGGCGGCATGTCACGCAGGAGCTAGAGGGCATGGCTCTTGACTTGGGTCCTCGGCTTGCCCTCCTTGGTTTCGGTGTGTCCTTGGCCAGGTTCTGTCACCTGTGTGAGCTCCCGTTTCTCCCTCGGCGCCCGTACTGCAACACCCGCTTCACAGTACGTTGTGCAGTCACCTGAGGTGATGCACAGGCAGCGAGCTCAGTGTCAGGCAGTCACTGATCAAAGCGCTGCCATCACCACGAACTTCCAGAGATGCAGACATTGCTCTAGAAATATCGCTGGTGGACAGTGCCATCTAGTGGTCAGCAGGACACAGATCTTGGCTTTCTGATTTTAAAAAATCTGCCGTGCCACCCTCTTCCTAGAATTTTTCTTGTGATAGTGAGCTTTGAGTTTTTGATGATGAATGTTTAGACCAATCTCTGCCTTACGTTTATGTACATGTAGTTTTGATTGTTCGTATTTGTGTTCTGGGATGGTTTCATGGAAAAATCAGATTAGGTCCACTTTGATTACCGTGCCATTGGGAGTCCTCGTAAGCGGGGACGTGCAGGGATTACAGTCTGAAGGTGCAGCAGTAACTCACCTCGGGGAGGTGCTCTCCTGCCCTTCCCCTCCGGGGTGCTGACCAGTCCTGTGTCTGCCTCCTCTCCCCGCCCCCCCCAGCACTCTTCCTGCAGCAGTGCCACTTCCTGCGCCAGGCCGGCCACTCCGAGAAGGCCGTCTCTCTGCTCCAGGCCATGGTCGACTTCACCTTCTTCAAACCCGACAGTGTGGAGGGCCTGCCCACCAAAGGACAGGTACGGCTCCGCTCTCCTCTCCTCCCCTCGCCGCCCCCGCTTCTTTCCTCTCTTTTGGGGGGAGGTTAGGTTCATGGGAGGTGGTGCTGATATTTTTAAAACAACATTATCTTCCTTTGTATCAGACCTGCTGAGGGTTGTTTCTCAGAAATATTCTAGCAGCGTAAGGAAAATTCCATAATGAGAGTAGTGAAACGTGGGGAGGTGGAAGAAGACCCTCCTGCAAATAGACTCACTCAGGCCCCTTTTCTCCTTCCTCATGGTCCTTGTTAAAGTGCCGGTTATGCCCACCGGTCAGGGAAACCCTTGTCGTGCCTTTTAAACTCTGTGTCACCCTGCCCCCCTTTCTAATGTGGGTCTTGTGTCACTCCTCCATTAGCCCTTCCACTGCCTCAGGTCTTTGCTGGGTGGCAGATGGAACTACATGCTGGCACTTTGTCACACCGGTCCCGATGGGGGAGGAGCTAACGATTAACATGACAAATGAACATGACCAACACTTGGGATGTGAAGCAGTATAGAAGGACCTTACCATAGAGCTGTTCATATTAGAAAGCCTTCTTTACCCTCTTTCCACCAAAGAAAACTCTGTTTCCTGTTCTGCACGGAGGGTCTGCTGGGAGATACACAGGATGTTTGAATTGGTGGTGATCTTTTGAAGGCCTTCTTGAGAGGCTAAGGTCTCCACATTGTATAATTTTTGTGAACTGCCTGCAAAGACTTTATCATCATTATTTTTATCTGTTTTTTCCCCAGACAAAATTGTGTTTTAAGAATATCGGTATAACTGATTATTAGTGTAACAAGCCAGATAGCAATTATTTTAAGACATATTTTACTCCCTTAAGAGTATGCTGTGCTACAGAAGTGACCCTTAGCCAGCTCTGCGGAGCACGTGCTGTGTGGTTGGGGGTCAGGGTCAGTGCACTCGGCCCTGCTGACACCACTGTCTGTGATGAGCGCAGTCGCTCTCGGGGTGGGTGGAGGGCACTGCCCAGGACTGTGGAGCATGGAGAACCACGCCTCTGACAGGTTGGGAGGGCTGGCCCCTGCTCTTGAGGTTTGAAGTACCAACAACAAGCACTTGCTTCTGTCCCTCCTGTAAGAGTAAACCCCGTGAAGAGGGAGGGTGGTCCCTGCCCAGGCCGTCTCCCTGAGGAGGCTGCTGAGCGCTCAGCAGCCAGGGCCCAGGCCAGGATGCTGGCCCTGCCCGCCAAGGCTCTCCCAGACACCGTCCTGCCCCTGGTGTGCAAAGCTGTCCCCGGGCCTGGGCTGGATAATCCTGCGGCTCTTGCCCTTGGTGTGCCCGCCGGAAGCCTGCTCATCCTCCTTGAAACTCTTCTTACAAAAGCATTCATTGAGCAAGTTACTGGCTCTCCTTTAAAGTCCTTATTGTGGGCTGATAACGTGATCCCTTTCCTGTTCCTTCCTTGTTCACCTTCTGCTCCACGTGGGATTGTTTGTTGCCACAGAACTGGACTGCAGAGCCGGTGACGTCCAGGTGAAGTAGGCCAGGCTTTCACATGCAGGTGTGTTTATTTGAGGGGTGCCAGCCATCTTTACCTCTGTGCCAGCAAGCACTTACTGCGTGCCTGCCAGGTGTGGGGCGCTGTGCCAGGTGTTGGGGACAGTTAGTTGAGATGTGGCCATGTCCTCAAGACCTCAGGGTCTGTCCTGTTAAAACCTTCAACTCCCTTCCCCTGAAAGGGTCTTAAAAGCAGCAGGACTTCAGGCAGTGGGGGCCTGGCTGTCCCCTGTTCCCTGTGAGACTGGCCTGCGAGGCCAGCACTGGGGAGCCGCTCTCCTCCCGCCCTTGTCCTTGGCCTGGGCCAGGCTTTGTAACCCAGGCCTGGAAGTGTCATCCCGTCACACCTTTGCCATATTCTAGGTCCAGCCCACACTCACGGGTGGGAATCCAACGAGGCAGGAGGCGAGGGATGGGGGCTGCCGTGGAGTCCACCTCCCACACGAGGTAATTGTATTTTCCATTTAGAGGTGTGTGTCGTAGATTGACTTCAGGGACTGATGACAGGCAAGGTTTCGGGAATCAGCCCCGCTTCTGCCAGTCAGTACTTTGCACAGTGACTCATGGTTTTGTGCAAGTAGGGTAACCTCCGTGTTTTAAATCTAAACAGGTGGAATTCTTCGAGCCCTTTTGGGACAGTGGAGAGCCCCGGGTGGGGGAGAAGGGCGCCCGCGGCTGGAGAGCCTGGATGCACCAGCAGGAGCGGGGCGGCTGGGTAGTCATCACTCCAGGTAAGGCGCCTTGGCGTGTGTGTGAGTTCTGGCATTTGTGTTTTTTTTCCTGTTTTTTAAAAAATATATTTTATTGATTATGACATTACAGTTGTCCCATTTTCCCCCCTTCATTTCCCTCCACCCTGCACACCCCCTCCCCCACCATTTCCCCCTTTAGTTCCTGTCCATGTGTCATACATATAAGTTCTTTGGCTTCTATATTTCCCCTGCTATTCTTGCCCTCCCCCCTGTCTGTTTTCTACCTACCATCTATGCTACTTATTCTCTGTACCTTCTCCCCCCTTCTCCTCCTCCCACTCCCCTGTTGCTTATCCTCCATGTGACCTCTATTTCTATGGTTCTGCTCCTGATCTAGCTGTCCTCTTAGTTTGCTTTTGTTTTAGGTGTGGTTGTTAATAACCGTAAGTTTGCTGTCCTTTCACTGTTCATATTTTTTATCTTCTTTTTCTTTGATAAGTCCCTTTAACATTTCACATAATAAGGGCTTGGTAATAATGAACTCCTTGAATTTGACCTTATCTGAGAAGCATTTTATCTGCCCTTCCATTCTAAATGAAAGCTTTGCTGGATAAATCAATCTTGGATGTAGGTCTTTGGATTTCATGACTTGGAATATTTCTTTCCAGCCCCTTCTTGCCTGTAAGGTCTCTTTTGAGAAATCCGCTGACAGTCTGATGGGAAGTCCTTTGTAGGTGACTGTCCCCTTATCTCTTGCTGCTTCTAGGATTCTCTCCTTCATTTTCATCTTGGCTAATGTAATTATGGTGTGCCTTGGTGTGTTCCTTCTTGGGTCCAACTTCTTTGGGACTCTCTGAGCTTCCTGGATTTCCTGGAAGTCTATTTCCTTTGCCAGATTGGGGAAGTTCTCCTTTATTATTTATTGAAATAAGGTTTCACTTGTTGCTCTTCCTCTCCCCCTTCTGGTACCCCTATAATTCAGATGTTGGAACGTTTAAAGATGTCCTGGAGGTTCCTAATCCTCTCCTCATTTTTTTGAATTCTTGTTTCTTCATTCTTTTCTGTTTGGTCATTTTTTTCTTCCTTCTGGTCCACTCCCTTGATTTGAGTCCTAGTTTCCTTTCCATCACTATTGGTTTCCTGTGCATTTCCCTTCATTTCAATTAGTTTAGCCTTCATATGTTCCTCTAATTTGTGGCTAAAATCAACCAGTTCTGTGAGCATCCTGATCACCAGTGTTTTGAACTGTGCATCTGATAGATTGGCTATCTCCTGGTTGCTTAGAATTATTGGCTGTGGGGCTTTGATCTGTTCTTAGCCACATTTTGGTCTGTTCGTGCCTGTTCTGTATGAAGGGCAGAGCCTTAGGTGTTCACCAGGGTGGGGCGACCCAGTAGCTGGGTTGTGACCCTGTATGTGGGGGCAGGGTCAGAGAGGGGCAATGGCATTTGTTCCGCTCTCTCTCGGATCTTGGTCCCCTCTCTCACTTCTCGCAAGCAAACCTGGCCCCCCTTGTGCCGGCTCCCGGGTGTGTGGGCCTGTGCACCCTCCAGGACCCTGTGGGTCTCTCCAACAAACTCTGTGTGAGCCTGGGAGACTCTCCCAGCACCTTGACCCCGGAAGTTTTTCCAATTGGTGCTTTTAGGCTCTAATTCCCGTCGCTGGGGCCCTAGCCTGTGCAGTCTGTCTCACTGCTCGCTCCTTCGCTTGGTTTATCTGCGTGCGAATATGTGACCGGGGTCAGCCAGCCGCCTTGCACCCTCACTGGGTCTGCCTGTTGCCACCCTGCACCTGGGATCTGCCAACCACTGCCTGCGCGCCTGGGTTGGTCTGGCCACCTTTTCCTGCCCGACCCCGCTTCACCGGCAGCTGACTGTCCTTCTTACCGGTCTGGATGAAAGTGTTGTTGTTGGACTTCCTTACAGTTCAGTTTTCTGTGTTTTGGCTGTGTTTTTGTTACTAAAACTTTGTTGTCTTTAAACTTGGTTGTGCGAGGAGGCACTGTGTTTCCACCTAGGCCTCCATCTTGGCTGGAAGTCTAGAATTTGTTTTTACATTTTCATAAGCTTTTGTTTATACATGTAAGCCATTTATCAGTAGCTTGAGGACATCGTACAAACATCAAAATGTCAAAAGCACGCTGAGTAGATGTCCTGGGAGAACAAACTGCTCCTTTCCCTTTTAGGGGCGTCCAGCCCTTGGCCCGTGGCTGCATGCAGCCCAGGATGCGGCCCAGCTCGAAACTGTGCATTTGCATAAAACTTTATGAGATTTTTTTGCGATTACATGTCACAGTATATTTAATGTGTGGCCCAAGACAAGTCTTCTTCCAGTGTGGCCCAGAGACGCCACAGGGTTGGACAGAACCTTGGAAAGTTTTGAGAACCTTTGAAGCAGTCCACCCCCCATTCAGTGCGTGATGCTTCCCAGGGTTGTTTTTCCCAGAGGAAACATTTTATTTTTCCTTGTACAGGCTGTTCCTGAAGAACTAATCTTGATACTAACCCTCCCACCCCATCCCCACTTTAGCATGTACTTAAGAGTCTTTTACTTTTGTTCTTGGTTTTACTTTACCTTTGCAATGTCCAGATCCTTTGAAAACTACTTGCTTTTTAAGGAATGCTGTAAAATAATTATTAACGAGCATTTACCCTTTCCAGCAGCACTGCCAATAGAAACATAACTCACGCACGTGGGAAACCTCACACTTTCTAGTAGCCACACTGAATAGGCAGAAAGAAAATAGGAGACGTTAATTTTGATAATGTATTTTGTTTGATCTAGCATATCAAAACACCAGTATTTCGGTATCTAATCAATATTGAACTAATGAGGTATTTTGCTTCTTTTTTTCACACGAACTCTTTGGACTATGCATAGCACATGTGAGTTCAGACTTGCCATGTTCGAGGGCCCCAGGGCCACAGACTAAGGGCTGCCCCATCGGCCAGCGCAGTGGTGTGCCGGTCAGGAATTGCTGCCCTTGTCCAGTTTCATCCACAGTGGGGGGGGGCGGAGGGGGTGGTGGTGGGCACTCGGGAGACCGGCCCCCCACCCAGGTGCGACCCGCTGCTTGTCACCTTGGCAAGGTGACACTCGCCAGGCCGAGGCTCCTTCATCCAAGATGTGGGACTGGGTTGGCTGTGGTCTGTGTGGCTGTGTGCAACTCCCGGCCGGTGGCACGTCTGTCACCACTTGGCCTTGCAGTGTCGGGGACAGAGCTCTGGGCGGCACTGTCTGGTGATGGCCATGTGGACTGTGAGTGTGCTCCGCCTCCAGGCCCTGGTGCTGCGGTTTAGGCCCCGGTGCGTCCACACACTAGAAACCGGGACCTGCAGGCAGAGAGGGAAGCGTCGCACTTGGCTGCTGTGTCCGCACGGCCACACGAAGGGCCCAAGACGAGCAGGTCTTTCTGGTAGCACCTGCGCTTTCTCGGAGTGGCCGACTCAGCGCGGCCGACTCAACACGGCTGTCTTCAGGGGTTTAGTTTATGTCAGAGCGAGTGAAGCTCCCAGAGTTCACGGTGCTCGGGTTCTGCGGTCCCCACGTTGGACCTTTCTGTGGCGTGTGCAGGTGCTGGCGGCGGCGCCTGGAGGCTGAGTCAGCGTGGCGCCTCTGGTGAGGGCGCAGAGGTCCTGCAGGTGCTCCTCGTCGGAGGCGGGGTTGGTTTTCTCAGTGAGGTGATGCGGGGACACAGCCTTGGTATTTCATGTCACGTTAGGGACGTGTGATGCCTGCCACGTGTAGCCCCTGCCAGCTTTCCAAACGCTCCCATCCCAGTCTTCTGAACGTGATGTGTTTCTTTCCACCCAACTTGGTGGGTGGCCTCCAGAGCACCAGGATCTGAGGGGGGAGGTTGCCAGTGTCTTGCTTCCAGAGAACTGCTTGGTAACTGCTTTCGTTTGCAAGTTCTCCTGTCCTTCCTCACAGGTTGGCACTTAAAGAGAGCGTTGGGGTTTAGCATGGATTCCGAGGTGTTTCTCGATAACATTGCAGCTTATTTTCTTGTATCGTATCACTTCCTGTTAGTCTGTGATTATTGTGTGCGTGTTGGTTTCAGACCGCGCAGTCTTGGACGTTTCTAGTGTAACAGACTCAGGCATCTGGGCCTGACACAGGACGCACTGGAGTGATTTCTCTAATGCTGACAATTTTTCAGCACGATTAAATGATTACCTTAAATGTAGATTACTAGAAGAAGGTGATAATTAAACTTTAGTTTTCTTTGAGAAATTCAGAGGAGTGTTAAGATAGAATGGTGGGTTAAAAATGCTAATACGCCTATCACTTATTTAAATTCTTCAGATGTTTTATTTGTTAGTGGTTTATTTTGGAATACCTACAGATTCACAAGAGGTTGGAAAGAGACACACGGCCCCCCCGCCCCGAGGCAGCACTGTGGCGCGGCGTCCCAGCCAGGGGTCAGCGCCGGGGCAGCCTGCGGAGGTCGCTCGGATCTCCCTGGTCCCACACGCCCTCCTCAGTGTCTGACACTGCGTGTCTTTGTCCCACATGGAGCCGGGGCTCATCACCGCTGCTCTCTGTGCACAGCCGTATTCTGCCACCACACGGCTCCCATAGGCTGTGCCGGTTCAGCCACTGGTCTGTCCTCTGTCTGTTATGTCACACGTGTTCTAGAAATGTGTCATGTCATGGGACTTTTTAAAGCTGTTTTTTTATTGTAAAATATTCATAAAACGTGACAGGTCAGCCATTTCTGAGTGACCGCTGAGCGGCACTGACCACATCCCCACCACTGTGCCACCACCAACAGGTTTGGGCAGCTCCCCCGCTCCTTCCACTGTCTGTGACCGAAGCTCAGTCCCCGTGACCTGTGCTCTGCGCCTGTCCCCGCAGGTTCGACAGCTTCGGGAACCCCATAGAAGGGGAGTCGCGGTTACCCGCTGGTTTTCGACTGGCTTATGTCACCTCGGATCATCCTGGGTGTGCTGGTGCCAGTGTCCCTTCCTGTTTGAGGCTGAATAATGGCACACTGTCGGTGGCTGTCCTATCGTGTCTGTCCAGTCCCCTGTCAGTGACGCTGGGCCGCGTCACCGGCGGTTGTGAAACATGCCGCTGTGAGCGTGGTTGAACAAGCACCCGTGCCGAGTCCCTGCGTTCACACCTCGGGGTGCGGTCCGGAAGCGGCGTTGCCAGGCACGGTGGCTCTGCGAGGCTTTCTCGGAGGAACCTCAGTGCGGTGCGGGTTTCTGCCCTGGCGGCGCCGTCCCCCGTCCCCACTGCCAGTGCGCCAGACTCCGGCCTCTCCACGGCCTCGCACGCGCTTGTTTGCTGTGTCCCTTTCTAAGCTTGGCTTTTTTCCACTCAGCAGAGCTCCCCCCAAGGTTCGTCTACATCGTCGCACGTGTGGGTAGTGGGTCCGTGTTTCCCACTCAGCACTGTTCCCAGGGCAGCTGCTCCATGGCTCGTCTGTGCTGCTGCCAGTTCTTGGCGTCAGGGGCACAGCCGCTGTGGGCGTCAGTGTGTGGGGGCCGTCGTGTGAACACAGGCCCCCGTCGCGTTCACTGCTCTGGCACCTGCACCAGCGGAGCAATCGCTGGGTCTGCAGTGAGCCCGTGCTTAGTTTCTATGAGAAACTTCCACGCTTTGGCGAGTGGCCGTACCATTTGACATACCCTGTTTATTTTTAAATACGGGGGTTTCCAGGTGACTCAGACTTTGCTCCTTTTCCGTTCTGTGTCAGGATGAGTTCAGAGTTAGGAAACGGTGAGGTAAAGTGTGTCACTAAAGGATAGAGGACGTCAGTAGAGGCTATCTTGAATTGCCCTTTGTTTCTTGAAGAAGTGAGCATAGGTCATAATCATAAGGCCACTGGCTGAAATTCTGATGCCTTAAGAAAACCTAAACCAGTGGTGTCGTTAAGTGTCATTTAGCAAATTCCAGAGCAGTGCTGTCCACCAGCCGCACGTTCCCGCCGCAGGCGGTGTGGTAGCGTCTGAGTCCGTTGGCCAAGCCGTCGGTTTTTGCCGGGACCCTGTGATCCGAGGAGAGTCCCCTGTGCGGCCGAGCACTCCAGGAGGCTGGGCCGCGCTGGGTCTTCCTCGTCTCGCCGTCCCGGGTGCCCTTCGTAGCAGCCGGCTTGCAGGGCCGTGGGGCGTCGATGGTGAGCTGGGAGTTTTGTTCTTGTCTAGATGATGACGACGATGAACCGGAAGACGATGACCAGGAAATCAGAGATAAGACTCTGCCCAGGTGGCGGATCTGGCTGGCTGCCGAGCGGGCCCGAGACCAGAAGCACTGGCGGCCGTGGCGCCCTGACAAGACCAAGAAGCAAACTGAGGACGACTGTGAGGACCCAGAGAGACAGGCAAGTGCGGGCCCCCCCACCCCCCGTCCACTCCCACTGGGGCTCGGTGCCCAGAAGGCGCTCGTTGGGCTCTCGGAGCACCTGCCTGGCTTCGGAGACGCTGGCCTGGCTCCTGCCTGTGGAGACGTCCCTTCCACTGAAAACCAGGGAAGAATTTCGGTGGCTGCTGGTGTGTGGAGCGTAGAGGCGCTTGACCAGCTACAGCTCCTGCCCCTCGATTCGGGGCCCGGGGGGCTCTCAGGGTCACCCCTCTGGCACCTGTCTTCCAGGTTGTTCAGTTACTTCTTCATGTGGAAGTGGAGGGCCCAGGGTTCAAAGCACAGAGTCGCTGGCTGGGTCCTTCGGCTGTGACCACTTCCCCACCCTGCTCTTACAGCTCCAGAAATGGGACGGGCGGGTTTGCCTCCAGAGGACGGGAGGGCCTGGGCGTAGAGGCCGCACGGGGACAGCTTGTCTTGCTGGCAAAGGGACAGGCATGTACAACCCGTGGCTCTGGGCCTTGCACTTCCATTGCTTATCTGATTTACTGCTGCTGCGTGACCCGGTCCATGCTACGCTAGTGCCAGCAGCTCTGGAAGTCTGACGTTAAAATAAGTGAAAAGATTCTGTTTTGATACCTGGAATTGACCCACTTTCACAAGATAAGAATTATGTCGCCTGGCATGCAGTGTGGTGTGGGTGTAGGCTGAGGGGTTGGCCCTGTAGCGAGGCTGGTTGGCTCTGCCCAGTTTGTCGGCCGTGAGCCTGCCCACGCGTTACCTGCCTGTTTTCTGCTGGGTGGGGGGTGTTGGGAGGCGAGTCTGGGGGAAGCTCCCTCCCTGCCTGAAGCTGGAGTGTTCGGGGAGGACCGGGGTCTTTCTGCAGCATCCAAGGGTTTTGCAGAGTTCATCACCCTGCCTGAAGTCCATCCTCAAGGCTCAGAATCTTGGCAGTTTCCTGGAAGCTCTTTTCTGGAGCAAAGTGCTGCTGTGAGCAGTTTCTTGTCACTTAGCTTTTTCTCTACTCAAAACCTGGAAAAGATTTCTGATCAGTTGATGGTTTTGATTAGTTGAATCCTAGGTAGTCCTTCTTTGCTGGGAGCCACAAAGACCAGTCAGATGAGCAGACTTTGAGACAAAGGGTAGTGTCCGTGGCTCACAGTTTAAAGTCATTTCCCAACAGCCCTGCGAGTGCCCACAGTTAACTGTTAGGTGCTTGGAAGTGCTCTTAACATGGTCCCTTGCTCCTGGAGTTCTTACCTTGCTGCTACTTCTCTGTTTCTGGGCATATTTTTCATTTCCTGGAACGATTTTGTACAAAGAAAGCACAGAACAATTAAGTTCTTTTCTCTGTCTTAAAAAAAAATGTACACTTGTAACTACCAAGCAATTGTGTGTGCTTTCAGAAGTGAATATGATTCTAGACTTTCCGTGAGTCCAACAGGATACTTCGAAAATTGTTGGCTTCAGCCAGCTCACCTCCCTCCCTCCCTCCCTCCTTCTGAGAACCCCCAGAAGTGTGAGCATCCTGACGGTGTCACAGGGTTCCCCACACTTACCATGTGGCCCCCGACCTGCCTGGCGAGGCCTGGCTTTTCTGCATCTTACAGAAAACCTAGCTCCTATCTGTTTAAAAATCACACAGTGTTGAATCATTATACATTCATATGAAGAGAATTACAGGGAAAATCGTGAAGGCATTTTTGTTTGTTTGCTTCAGTAAATAAATAAACTGGGTTCCAAACAGGTCACTTTATTCTGTCTTTATTGCAGGTGTTGTTTGACGACATCGGACAGTCTCTGATCCGACTTTCCAGCCGAGCACTCCGGTTCCAGCTGCTCGCGGCCTTTCTGCAGTTCCTGGGCGTGCCTTGTGGCTTCAGCCCTCCTGCCGCCTGCCTTTACCTGGCCATGGACGAGAACAGCGTCTTCGATCACGGACTTTGTGACGAAAAGCCGTTGACTTTTCTCAACCTTTCATTTTCCGGCGTGAGCTCTGTCGGCCGCACGGACCAGTTGGGCTGCCGGCGCTGGACCAGAGGTCACAGCCGAGAGGGCGAGGAGTTCATCCGCAACATCTTCCACCTGGTGATGCCGCTGTTCTCAGGCAGGGAGCGGTCTCAGCTCTGCTTCTCCTGGTTACGATACGAGATTGCGAAGGTAACTCCAGCTGCCTGTTCCCTGGATTGCGGGCTTCCTCTTGTGTCCGTGTTTACGCGTGGAATCGCAGGGGCTTGGTGTTCTTCAGGTTCCTGGGCCGCAGCACCGCCTTCCTCAGGGGACCCTGAAGGTGCCTGGCATGTGGCAGCCCCTTCTGAGGAGCCACACTGAAGAGGAACACGAGCTGGTTCTTGTGTTACCAGATTCCCGTGATTACGTGAGCTGCTAGTGTTAGGAGTCAAGCTTAATCGAGGTTAGAGCATTTAGGGACTTATTAAAGTAGATAAAATAAGCTAGTACCCTGCTGTTTTTTTCTGTCTGCTAGAAATTGGCTGAGGATCGACTCTTCTGCCCTCTGCTGGCCACAGGTGGAATTTAGTCTTAGCACCCAAAGTTCTGACACTTGAACTACAGGTCGCATACCCCAGGTTGTATTATTAAAATAGTGTTGTCTGATGAAACTGGGTGGCCACCTCTTTTCTGAGGACGTTAGAGTATTAAAGCCTTGTTTGTAGAGGTTTCGGATGAAAACCAGGCTGTGTTCATTTTGCGGTTCCTGTGGCCTCAGTGAAACCCCCTGATTTGCTTCCCGGCTCAGAGACCCCAGTGCTTAACCAGACGTGTGACGAGGGAAGGAGGCGTGAATGCTTTGTGTGGCTTTCTCAGCTCAGTGGGGCTGCTTTCAGTTCACAGGGCACTTGGAGTCATTCTTTTCTTTCTGCCTCTAGGTCATTTGGTGTCTTCACACTAAAAACAAGAAGAGATTAAAGTCACAAGGAAAGAACTGCAAAAAACTAGCCAAGAATCTCCTTAAGGAGCCAGAAAACCGCAACAATTTTTGCCTCTGGAAGCAGTATGCACATCTGGAGTGGTTGCTGGGCAACACGGAGGACGCCAGAAAAGTTTTTGATACGGCACTCAGCACAGCAGGGAGCGGGGAGCTGAGGGACCATGAGGTCTGCGAGCTCAGTCTGCTCTACGCTGAGCTGGAGCTGGAGCTGGCCCCAGACCCGAGAGGGGCCGCCACGGCCCGAGCTCTTCACATATTAACCAGGCTGGCTGAGAACAGTCCCTATGGACCCTACGCCGGGCAAGTCCCAGCCGTTCACATTCTGAAAGCTCGGAAGGCTTACGAACGTGCTCTGCAGGACTGCTTGGGTGGGAGCCGTGTCTCTGACCCACCTGCCGCTGGTTCCCTGGACCGCCTCGTTAGCGTGGTTAAATGCTTTATGCTCTTCCAGTACTTGACTGTAGGGATCGACGCCGCTGTGCGGATATACGAGCAGGTGTTTGCAAAACTGAAGGGCTGTGTTTCCCCAGAAGGCCCAGGCCCGGAGCACAGCGCCAGCACTGGGAGCGTGAGCAGTGCTCTCGAGGCCGTCACGCTCATGCACACGAGCCTGCTCAGGTTCCACATGAAAGTCAGTGTCTACCCCCTGGCTCCTCTGCGGCAGGCGCTCTCGGAGGCCTTGAAGTTGTATCCGGGCAACCAGGTTCTTTGGAGGTCGTATGTGCAGGTTCAGAACCAGTCCCACAACGCCAGCAAGACCAGAAGGTTCTTTGATGCAGTCGCCAGGAGTGCAGACCCCCTGGAGCCCTGGTTGTTCGCGATTGAGGCTGAGAAAATGAGGAAAAGACTGGTGGAGACGGTTCAGAGGTAATTACAGGTCACCTCGTTCACGTGTCCGCAGGCTCCAGGAAGCTGGCTGCGTCCCCCTCTCCGAAGCCTCAGGAGCACGGAAGTGAATACGGGCCCGTGCCTGGCACAGCCGTGTGGGTGTTTTGGGTTTGACAGAGGAGGACATCGGAAGAGGGACGCAGGACCTGCGAGTAGCACACCTTGCGTTGGAGGCTTTGTGGCTGTGCCCCTGGGCCATGCTGGTGGGATGCTGAGCATTGCTTTCGCTGCGTGGGTGGAGACTCTCAGGCCTTCGAGTGTCTGAGATGCTGTAGTGAAAGCATAATGCGTAAGAGCGCAGGCTCTGGAGGTGGACTCTGGGCTCAAATCCCAGCTCTTCCATTTACTAACTTTGTGACCTTGGACAGTCACTTTACCTTTCTGATAGGTTCCTGGGAAGTGAGGACTTGGTGTGTGACTTGTAGGCAGATTGGCTGTGGTGTAGAAGCCACAGAACCCAGGACACCGCCTTCCTCTGGCCTCGGAGGAGCCACGCCCATGGACCTGAGGGACAGCCCTGCCCGCGAGCTCTGGCCCGCCTGTGGCTGACACGTGTTACCACTCACGCACACCTGCCCCGGTGGCCTTGGTGTGAGGACTTGCCTTGGGGTCACACGAGCCTTTGTCTTGCAGGGTCGATGGCAGAGAGGTGCACGCCACGATTCCTGAGACCGGCTTGACGCACCGGATCAGAGCCCTGTTTGAAAACGCCACCCGGAGTGACCACGGCAGCCACTGCCCCTTACTGTGGAGGATGTATTTGAATTTCTTGGTAAGAAAATGCACAGTTTTTGTGCGTGTGCAGAACTCTGAGTGAGAAAATGTAGGTGTCCAGTAGCCACTGCGAGGGCCGGCGGGTGGGGGCGCCTCCTTCCCCCTCACACCTTCTCACAGGCGTGGGAGCTCAGGTCTCCCTCACTTGGGAAGGGCCAGGGGTTGGGCAGGATGACAGGGAGGAGTGTCTGGGCGGCTTGGTGTCGACGTGGGTGTGTCTGAGTTGGCTTGTTGAGTTGACCACTGGGAAGTGGTCTGAGAGCTTTCATTTGAAAGAGACTTAAATTCTTGGCCATTCTGCTCATGAGTTCCCAGGCCCTGGTCTGTTATTCAGAGATAAGATTTGCCTGGAATGTGGTTTTTAAGTTAGACGTTTCCACAGCAACTTTGTTTTCACTTAAAGGACACGGTGGCTGCCTGCGATGAGACACTGATTTTGCTCACGTGTGTGCGGGTTGAAAGTCGGCTCCGCCCCGTCAGAGGCCGGGCGGCGGGAGGGGCCTCGTTGGCGGTACCACTGCGGCCACACTGTGTGCTTCCTTAGAAACAGCCTTCTGGGCCACCCGAGTGTCGCAGTGGCTGAAGGCTGCTCGTGGTCATATCCGAGTCACCACCAGTCAGCATCGTTCCTTCAGAAGTCAGCGGTGGTCTGCCTTCCCCGTAAACCTCGTGGGTGATGATTCCATAGTATAAATTCTCACCAGTCAGTCGAGGTGTCAGAACACTGCCGGTGGACATGGCTGAGCAGGTGTAAAGATGCAGAAGAGAAGGTCAGGGGCGAGGATGGGGGCGGGCCTTCCCTGCTTCTTAGACCCCCGACGGGCCTGGGGGTGGGGGAGGGCGCACAGTCTCAGGCCAGTGGCTGATGGGCACAGCCTGGGGGCAGACCTTGGCCTCAAGGTGGGTTACTGTAGCGGTCTGTGTGCTTTGACCATCTATTCTTCAGACCCTAAAGCTCAGATTTTGTCTCGACTCCCTTGTGTGAGATGGAAGCCTCCAGAAGTCCACATGCTGGCGTGGTCTTTGTGGCGCGCTCGTGGCCTGTCATTTGGAGGTGACAGCATGGGTGGCTATCAGGACAATGGGGTTCCGGTCTCCGCTCCTGTCAGTGGGCCTCCCAGTGAAGGGGGCTTGGATGCTCCCTAATATTTCCAGCACTGATGTTCTGTGTGTCTTTCTAGGCAGATAAAAGACTTCTGCATTTAAAAAGGGAGTCTTGAGAGTTGGCCAGTGTCATTTCTCCAGTCTTTCGTGAGGAGAGAGTGATGAGGCCAGGTACAGACTTGCAGTGTTTTTACTGAGACTCTGCTGAGCCAGGTTTGGTTGGATTGTAGGCAGAAAAGTTCTTGTGGACTTGGAAGAAAAGACTGGACACTCGGGGAATTTCGGTCTTTGGGAAAGTGTGGTCGTGGAGCAAAGATTGGTTAGAGTGTGACTCCCCTGGCAACTCCCACGGCCCCTTGGTGAGCTCCTGGGTCTTTGATAAACACAGTGAGAGAAACAGATCGGGCCCAAACGCCAGGTGTCAGCTGTGAGCGCCTGGAGGGAGGAGGGGGCCGTGGGGGCCTTGTGAACGGGTGGGACTCGTGGAGGAGGGTCGCTGGTGTGTGTGCTCACATGTGTGTGCCCTCTGGCATGCGTGTGTGCACGCTTCCATGCCTGTGCAGGCACATGCAGGCACATTTGCTTGTTTTTCACCCCCGAGCAAAAGCAAAGCAATTAAAACTTACAGTCGGTCATGGAGAGTATGGGGGAGAAAAGGACTTGGACAAACAGTTAAAATTTTCCACTGAGGTTGGAGCTCAGCTTAAAGCCTGTTTTTTGAGGGGGACTTTTTGCATACCCACTAACACTTGCAGGCAAACTGTTTTTGTTGTTTTGGCTAAAATTACAGTTATTTTCAAGATAATTAGTGTTCTTCAGTTTGGTCATCTGCCTACTCAATAAGGAGATAAATTTGAGTATGTAAACCAGTTAGCTGATTCCACGGGCCTGAGGAGAGAGGTCTCAACACATGGAGAGGGAACAGTGGCCTTTCTAACTTGGAGTCACTGGATTTCATTTTCTCCAGTGTGGTTTCTTCCCACTTGGTTGGCAGCTGGCAGAGGTGAGTGTATTGAAAGGCCACCGTGTGCAAGAGCTGGCGGGAGGGGAAGAGTCTCTTCAGTGCCCCTTCCAGTGGAAGGGGTCGTCGGCCTGCTCTGAGGAGCACTGATAAAGTGTTCTAGAAATGCGTCTTTTGTTTGGGGACAGTTTGATGTCAGCTTTGTCACATGACGTTTTAAAAGAACTGTGTAGGCTAACAGTCACTCAGAGTTGTTTACGTGTGATTAAGAGGCGGCACGAGCTGGGAGACGAGCAAGCAGCCCCTCCCCCCCCGCCCCCCGCCCCCGTGCGGAGGGTGCGGAGGAGGCGCACAGATGGGAAGGCGCACAAGTGCCACGACACAGGACCGCTTCTCTGAGCCCAGCTCTGCGGCAGGGGCGCTGCTGTCGGATGTGGGCGGGTGGGCAGCTCCCACTGCACACACTGCTGTCGCCCAGGCCCCGCCCACCCACCTGCTGGCGCCGGGAGAGGGTTGCAGCCCAGCTCAGGTCTGGGCAGCTGGCCCACTGCACCTGCCATGGACTTGTGTCGTCTGTCTGTGGGGGTCTTGTTGGCTGACTCTGTGTGGTGCGTGTGAGGCTTAGTTCTGGAGACCGTCATTGGCGGCATTGAAGGCTTTGTGGACAGAGACCGAAGCCAGCCTCTCTGCCTACTGGGTAGCTGTGACTTCGGTTCTGTGCCTGGTCACTGTTAGTGCCCCGAGACGTTCCCGGTCTGCTTGGGGAGAGACGTTCTTAGCCAGTCACAATTGCATGGGGTCACCGGGTGCGTGGGAGTCACCCACTGTTAGATTTCAGCCCTGACTCAGGATTTTCCAAGGAGTTGGGGGTTTGTTAAGACGGTGAAGTTTGGAGGGTGTGGAAGGAGGACGCAGAGGGCCGGGGAGGAGCCCGTGAACTTTCTTCACAGTTTCTTCGTGAACTTTGTGGCTCTGCTGTGCAGAGAGGGAAGAGAGACACCCAGGTGGTGACTTAGACACTGAATCTGAACAGAGGAAACCAGCGGGCTTGTGCCTGGCCTGGAACCCTTCTTCCTGCACCGGACATTGCAGGTTCTCCTGGTGGCCCGCCGATCGTCACCGGGGGGCCGTTCTCACCGGGTTCAGGGTTGTCTGCGAGGCCCACAGACACGGTGGTGGGAATGCGTGGCAGCACAGCCTCCTGCCTTCTTTCAGAAACGGGGATTTTGCCGTGGGAAGGGAGGACAGCGCCCTGGCTCCCGGGATGTGAATCCAGAGGTCTGGCCTCCCTGCAGCCGAGGCTCACGCAGGGCAGGGGGACAGGAGTCCGCCAGCCCTGAGGCCGGCTCTGTGTCGGGGGCACTTGGAGGAGGTGGGGACAGCTGTGCCTTGCCTGAAGCAGGGTTGTCACAGAGGCTGGTCACAGCTCAGAGTGACAGTGCTGGTGGCTGTGGGAGTTAACCTGGAAAAGGAAAAGGAAGGCTGACCTTGGTAGGCAGAGCTCCTGAAGCATAGATGGCGTCTATGGTGCCATTGCCAGGGTTTCTGGGAGGTCGTGCAACAGCCCTTCATGCACCACGCTGGGCGCCAAGCACCAGCCACCTGGCAGAGAGAGACCCGGGGTCCCCTGGAAGGTTCTCCTGTGGGATTGGGGAGGCGAGAGGACGGGGCGCATGCAGAGTCCACTAATGGACTCCAGCCCCAGGAGCTGGGCTCGTGTCCAGCAGCAGCAGCTGCCAACACTGCCCACCTGGGGGCTGCCCAGGGGGGCTGAGGGCCTGGCAGACCACGAGTGACAGAGCCCCCCCGGGGACATGGGAGAAGGCCCCCGTGGGGGTGCCACACACAGCTCTGGCTCCCACAGTGGGCGTGGAAGGAGAGCGTGGCTGTAAGTTGAGACTAAGGGTTTTCTACCTAGAAAATCTGCCAAGTGTGTGCACTTCCAGACAGAACTTCCTGACGGAGAGCTACCTTCAGTTTTACGAATTCAGCAGTCGTAGAGTTTACCGAAAACTCGAAGGTAGTTTTCAGAAAATGGCAGGTGTTAGAGCAGATGCTTTCTCTGTGTAAAGTCGTCATCAGCCTCCCCAAGCACAGGTGCCCGCACTCGGCCTAATCCTGGGCACCTGGGTTAGTAATGCGAGGTGTGAGGGCCGGGGGAAGGGCTGGAAAACCAGTGGGCAGTGCTGAAGGTCAGCTCCCTGGTCCTTTTGTTGGAGGGCGCCGACCCCACACAGCAGTGGCCCTGGCAGTGTCACAGGGTGCACAGGCACCCAGTGGCCACTGTGAGGATGCCCCCAGGCTGGCTGGCTGCGCCCAAGGGGCCCTGTGGGGCCGTGCAGGTCCGGTCTCTAGCCTGAGCCTGCCTGTTTCAGTCATCTTTGTCCCTTCTCCCCTCAGGTGTCCTTAGGAAATAAGGAAAGGAGCAAAGGTGTCTTCTACAAGGCGCTCCAGAATTGTCCTTGGGCAAAGGTAAGTTCTAAAGAGCCTGCCATCCCCAGATCCCAAGACCTCCCCTCCGAGTCGGCGCACCCACTGTGCCTGGCCTGCACCCGTGTCGTTGCAGGCAGGGTATGTCCCAGACCTCTCTCTGTGGCACTGTGCCCTGTGCGTTCTGGGCTCTGCCATGCAGCTGGTGTTTCGGGGGGCTGATGCTGTGGGCCGTGGGCTTCCCGGCAGTCACCCGGAGTCCAGCCCAGAAGCTGCAAGCACCGGGACCAGTGTCCTGAGTCAGCCTTGCAGAGCTCAGGTCAGGTCTTCAGAAACCAGACTGGAGGTGACTGCAGTGCCTGCCAGCCACCTCTGGTCCCACTTTGCGACGACTCCCTTCCCCTGTGCTCTTGAGTGCAGCCCTCCCTGAAGTGCGCCCAGGGGCTGCCGAGCGGGTCAGGACAGCGCAGCGGTGTGCTGCTGTGGAGGGACAGTGGGGGCCAGGCTTGCCAGGACGGGGAGTGGCTGGCTGACCAGGGCGGCGTCTCTCCCGGCCCTAGGTGCTGTACATGGACGCCGTGGAGTACTTCCCCGATGAGATGCAGGAGGTCCTGGACCTGATGACGGAGAAGGAGCTCCGGGTGCGCCTGCCGCTGGAGGAGCTGGAGCTTCTGCTTGAGGACTAGAGACCCCCGCCCCACCCCGGGGGACGGGGCCACACCTCCCAGGCCGCATTGTCTGCCCCACGTGAGCTGGGATGAGCCAGAGGAGATGATGGTACCTGCATGTCAGATCTCTTTCAAGATTCTTTCTGGGTTTGGTCTGGGTTGTCAGTCTCACCTCGTGCACATTTGTGCAAATGACACAAAAGCTCTTTTGTTACATACTGTATATGCATGTATATGTGAATCTGTGTATATATGTACATAGACGAGAATTGGGTCACACGATGAACTAAACCTGTCGTGCTTGGTACGTGTTCGTTCTGCTCTTTCTCTGCCCAGCCAGCCCTGTCAGGGTAGATGCCCCACTCACTTGGCACCCATGGTGGTCCTTGCCTAGGCTTCTGGGTTTTGTAGGCAGGACACGGCCCGGTTCCTCAACGCCAGGACCTTCTCCCTGGGGCTGGTTACAGGGAGATTTTGCCCTTGTTTTCAGACCAGGGCAGGGAGTCACATAAAACCTGGTGTTCTGGTTCTGGCCCTGGCCTGTACTGAGTGTATTAAAGTCTCTCGTTGTTCCCAGAGCCTGACTCTGCCGTGCCGCCACCTGCGGACTCATCAACATGCAGGCGCAGCCCAGCTCTGCAGCGGCAGAGTTGGCGCCTGGGCAGAACCCCAGGCCCTGGCGTGCCCTGCAGTGCAGAAGGCCCTGCCCGAAGAAACCCGCCACACTGCTGCGGGGAGGCTGCCTGTGCGGGCTCCAGCACTGCTCAAGGGGCGCAGGCCCCGACTGGCCGCGTGCTTGTTTGGATTTTTGAGGGCTGTCCAGCTTCCTGCTGGTCTTTAAAAATCATGATTTCTAGACTTGAAGAAAAATTCCTTTGGTAACTCATTGAGAAAAGCCAGTGCTGTGGAACAGGGTTTTGGCTAGAAGCAGACGGCTGTTAGGTTGGGGGAAAGAGGCAGCCCAGCTGGAACACCGTCCAGGGCACAGCCTCGGAGCCCACAGGAAGCTGGCCAGCCACGCAGACAGCGCTGCCCTGCTTAATGGCTTCAAGCCTGAACTCAGGCAAATGCAAGAATTAAAAGGGGGAGAAGATCTGGCACTTTCAGAGGCTCTGGAGAAGGGTGAGGTTTGTGAACCCAACTGGGGACAAAGGAAGGCGTGGTAAGAGATTGTTCACCCCTGACCTTCTGAGATTTCTGGCAGGAAACCCCAGTCTCGTGGCACCAGTACTTCTTTCCTGCCCCAGAACCCACAGCCCTTCCAGAAAGAAAAGCTCCATTTCCTCTGAGTTCCCAGCCCCGTGAACTCGGCCTTTGTTGCTAAAGTATTACCAGAGACGGCCGGTGTGTGGTTACCACTTCTTGCCCATCAGATGCTGGTGAATGGCGCCACCCAGCTCTGGGGGCATGACATGGGGGCAGCAGGCACTGAAGTCTGCACTTCTGTGATCACCTGGAAGCGTCCCTGACACCCAGGCTGCCCACAGGTGCTGAGTGAGACCCCACACGCAGGATGAGAAAGAGCTCATTTTATTGGGAACGGGGCGCTGGACCACAGGCTCCCACACAGGTGCTCCGGGAGGTGCACAGTGCACAGCACGTGTTGCTGGGGGATCAGCTGGGGTGGGCACCTTCCCCAGCCGCCTCCCTCCAAGGGGTTGGGCTTCGCCAACCATCTTCTTAAAGGTAACTAGTCTGCTAGAGATAAAGCCCCTCGGGGGTGCCTTCCTGTTTTTTATAGAGAACATTTTCTTTAGATTTTTTGAAGTCTTCATTTGTTACTTTCATTCTGCGTTCTCTCAAGGCCATCAGACCAGCTTCTGTACAGATTGCCTGTAGAAACAACAGTATATTCAGAAGTGCAATACTTGTTTATTCTAACAATTCAGAGAGCTACTTTGTAATAAGGTACGACACTCCAGATTTTAAATAATGTGTTAAGCACCCTAGTAATTTTCTCTCTGAGCTGGCTTAGACCAGAGTGATCGAGGAGGAGGACTGGCCACGAGGTAAGGCCCCACGGTCCTGTACTGGCTCAGGGGCCAGCCAGTCGTGTGGCCTGGCAGCTCCGTTTCTGTCAAAGGGAGTAATGTTTCCAAGAAACAGATGAAATCATGCCCGGGAATTTGGAGGTAACAGAGTGTGTATCTGCTTCATTTACCTACAGTTATAGGAGGTAACAGAGTGTGTATCTACTTCATTTACCTACGGTTACAGGAGGACACCTATTCTGGTTAAATACTGTCCGTCTCAGTCTACTATTCACTTTATTATATGTATCTTTTCAATAATTACTTGCCAAAAAGTGAAAACAGAGCCCATGCAACATGATGTATAAAAACCCAGTCCTGGCACTGAGGTATCTGTTTGGTCATGGCCACAGGCCACGTCAAATGGTTCAGGCAGAAAAGAAAGATAAAGCAAATGGGTAAAATGCTAACATTTCGTAAACTGAAAGATGGGTGAATAGCTGTTTACTATTCTTGCAGCTTTTCTGAAGGCTTAAAAATTTTCAAAGTAAAAAAAGTCAGTGCAAAATTAAATTTTTGTTTTAAGTGGAGGAGACACTACTTAGCTCAACAGACGCCGAGGACATGCAGTCCAGCGCAGGCGCTGCACGGAAAGCCCCGGGTCTGCCGTCCCGTCCCCAGCTAACCACGGTGCGTCCACGCTCGGTGCTGCCAGGCCTCGCACTAGTCTGGTCATCTGGGAAGGCCCGGGTGTGATGAACCAAGAGGTACGGTGGGCCCAGGCTCTCACCTTGATGTCGGCACCCGAGAGGTCATCTTTAGCCATGATCAGGTCATCCAACGTCACGTCATCAGCCAGCGTCATTCTGCTCGTGTGGATCTGAAAGATGCGCTTCTTGGTCTTTTCGTCGGGCAGGGGGAACTCGATTTTCCTGTCAATGCGGCCTGCAGGTGAAAAGGGTTCAGGGGCGGCCGTGTGCAGCCCCAGGCTCTGCCGGCTCAGGGAGAGACCTGGGCCACGCACACACGCAGTTTCACTGTCGTCTGGGAAGGGAGGTCCAAATCTCAAAAAGTGAACATTCACCTTTGTAGTTGGTAAGTTTCTATGTTTGGATTCATCTGTTTAAAAGAAATCCTCTCTGCTACCTTCAGAAATGAGTGTGAGCAACGGTTCCTGAACGGCGTGTTCAGTGCAAAAGGATGCAAGAGCAAGCAAATTAGCTGCTGCTGCTTTGGGGCTAAATGAATGTAAGAAATGAAAAACTATCATATGAATTATTTCTTTGAGGAAAAAGTTCTTGAGGCTTAAAAGGGAGTATGTAGAAAAGAAAACATGTAAAATTAGAATTCAAAGAGCCACCCTGGGCAGACATTACCATGCTCTTCCCTACACTCTTAGGGAGACAGGTTTAAGTTATTCTAAATTTCAGTGCAGCATCTGCCTTCACGTGTATCGTTTTATAATCCCCCAGAGCGCACTTAACACACACACAGACTCTCCGTGATGAAACAAAAGCAAACCTGACCAGGTCTGATAAGTGCTGGATCCAAAGTTTCTATTCGGTTTGTGGCCATGATAACTTTCACGTCCCCTCTGGAGTCAAATCCATCCAACTGGTTCAACAGTTCCAACATCGTTCGCTGAATTTCTCTTTCACCCCCAGAATTTGAGTCGTATCTTTGGAAAAGAGAAGGAATGAAGATGCAACTGATCTGCTAAAAGGAATTACAATCACCCCTCAGCATTCCTGTCCCAACCCGTATGTATGTCCTATCCTCAACAGCCCAGTCACGCAGCTCATCACGGTCTTGGTAGCAGTCTTCACGCCCACAGTTGTATCACTTACTCTGTCTCAAGTGTGGTGTCCCCCAACCTGAGCTCCTCCAGGTACTATGTCCCCTGGCACAGAGCAGAGGTTCAAGAAATGGTCACTGTGTGACTAACCTCCAGACTCACAGCCACCCCAGACCGGGGAGAGCAGAGCTGGAGCGTCCTCAGAGAGGAGCTACGTGGTTTTCACCTCTGAAGGACACAACGCAGCTAAAACAAGGTCTACCTTTTAGTCCCAATGGCATCGATTTCATCAATAAACACAATGGACGGTGCGTGTTCTTCAGCAACGCGAAACAACTCCCGGACCAGTTTGGGCCCGTCGCCGAGGTACTTCTGAATAAGCTCAGAGCCAACCACTCTCAAGAAAGTGGCCGAGGTTTGGTTTGCTACTGCTTTGGCTAATAAGGTTTTACCTATTTTAGATTGAAAAAGACAAAGGGGGGAAAAACTTCAAGTGGTGTTTAAACTTACAAACTGTCATTACCCCCGTAAATGGACATTACAAATGGGCGGATACACTCAGGTGCCTGCACATTCTGTCCTCCCAGGCCCTCCGGTGCAGGCGACCCCCAGCACAGACCCCCTTGGGTACATGGTTTTAAGTCAATCAGATGAACTCTCCTCTGCAGTTTACATACCAACAAACTGTTAAGTCCTGGACACACACTTACACAGGTGAATTTATGGCACTGTGAACCCAGTATCTCTATTTTCACCTTCATGCACTTGTGTACTGATATTATACTTAGTACCCACAGACCAGGAGAAGGAACCTCAGCTGCACGGCACAGGGCATCTTTGAACCGTGGTTCTGCACCACGGCTCTGATGCGCAACCACTCCAAATCATCTCAGGGATGGGCCAGCCATCATTATTTTTTAAAGCTCCCAAGTGATTCCCATGTGCCAAAGTTTTTTTCTTATAAGCTACTTTTCATAGACTCACATCGCTCACAAACATTTGAAGGTATTAGGTTTTATAGCACAGATATCCAGTATGTTGGCATACAGCAGGTCTTGGGAACTGTAAATGTTTCGCACTGAGCAGGCAGGTATTTTGGGAGGAGGGTCTACTTGCTGTAATCCACACGACTGTTTGGACCACATTAACCAAGTGCAGTCTACAATTTCAAGTCTAAGTTCAGTTCATGGTGGTTTTTGTTTTTGTTTTTTGAGTGAGAGAAAAACATTGCTTTGTGTCCCACTCATTTATACACTCACTGGTTGTTTCTTTTTGTATGCCCTGACCTGGGATTGAACCCACAACCCTGGCATATCCAAACGACGCTCTAAGCAACTGAGCTAGCGAGTCAGGGCCTCCTAGTCCATCTCTTATACAGATATATATGTCTATGTAATAGGTGTTTCCAGAGGAGATGCTTACTCAAAAATTCCAAAGTGCTGCTCCAAGCACCCTGTTTGAAACTACGCACGTGTGGCACCCTCACTCACCAGGTGACTGTAACTCACTAATGCTGCTGTTCAGAGGGGGACCGAGTGCCTGGAGAGCTCGGACACACAGCACACATACCTGTGCCAGGTGGGCCATAGAGAATGACCCCCTTAGGGGGCTTTATACCCATCTCCTCGTAATATTCAGGGTGAGTAAGAGGAAGCTCCACAGATTCCTACAGAAAACAAACATCAGGTAAGCATGAGAGGCTTGCTTTCTTACTGAAATCACCGTCGGATTCGCGGGCTGGCATCATGAGTGTGCCTCACTTTCAACAAAAATAAACGAAAACTTCACTTGCTCTCCTTAGAGGAGACGTGCTTGATGTCACTAGCAGCAAGGACATTCTCAAGAGGACCTCTGTCTTGCTGGAGCGCCCTGCACCTGCCCCTCTCCTTATCAGCACCCCATTTCCAGTGCTCTCTGTTAGAAGTCAGCCCTGAACAGCCTTCAAGCACGTCTTCAGCAAATGCATCTTTAAAAAGCTAAAATCCACCCTTTTCAGACTGATCTCTAGACAAGAGCTGGAAAAAGTCTCTGGTTGCTGTCACCACCCAGGCCACTGCCCAGCTGTTGAGGTCACCCAGGCAGATTTGTGACAGCTCTGCCTTCTCTACAGACGAAAGAACCTGTGAAGGACTGGCCCGCAGCCATCCTGAATAGTCACTTCCCTGGGGCCGGGGCCAGGTTCCAGACCCCACCACTGTCGGCCTGGGCCACTCACCCACCCTGCCCCACAGGTCACTGCTGAGGGCAGCACAAGGGGAACATCACATATTCACTAGGGAACCATTAAACATTCCATGTGAGGAGTACTACGCTGCAGCTGCTTTGAGAACTACACCTCAGTTCTCACACGTCTTAGTTCTTGAACAACTCAGTTCTTGACCAAGGTTTTCACAGAAAAGACGTCTTGGTCACCTTAACCAGACTCCAGGTCGTGCTGACACCTGTATGATCAGCCACGCATCTCTCAGGAGACAAAGGAGACTGAGTTTTCGAACAAACTGCTTCCCCAAATTTGTGCAACAAATTAAGTTCGAGAATGGGGGGTTCCACTGTGACACAGAAAGTACTGTTACTCTACGACCTAACTCAGCTGTCACAAACAGAAAACACCACACTGGCCGGCTCTGAGTTACTGCTCTGACCAATGAAGAAAACAAAACACGCAAAAGAGCTTGAGTGAGACCGCAGCAGGAAACCGGAGGTCTAAAACCAAGTGCCGGTTCCCAGAAATACCTTGATTTCCTGGATTTGGTTGTCCAACCCCCCGATGTCGGCGTAGGTCTCCTGCGGGGCCTTTTCCACCTTCATCACCGTGACCAAGGGGTCTGTGTCGTCCATCAGCACCCCTATCACGGCATGCACCTAACCGGGAACATGACGCTTTGCTGTCGGGATGCATGGATCACACGGTTCGTTACAACCAAGCAACGCCGACCACAGGGTGAGTGTGGGGAAGCTCTCCTTCCACAGGACGGGGGCGGGGCTGAGGGAAGCAAGCTTTCTGAGCCTCCACTCACCTTGTGGTTGAGCAGGACGGAGCAGCCTGGTTCCAGCAGGTCCTTGTCCACAAAGGAAAGAATGCTGACGTAGTGTTCTGAGCCCACAGATGTAGACACAATGGCGTGATTATCATCGATGATCTCTTCCAAGGTTCCTACGGACATCGGGGTCCCCCTCAGATCGTCCACCTTCGATCTCTCTTCCTATGGAAGCGTTTGCCGAGAAGGAAAAGCAGGTTAGACCTGAAGCGCAGGTGGTGTGGAGAGCTCGCCGGATTCACAAAACAGCCGGTGCTTTTAAAAGGCAGTTCAAATTCAAAACAGCCCGAAAGGTGCACCTGCTGAATATCCCTCACTCACGGACAGTTTTAGGTTTAAGCAGAATTCAATTTGTAAAAATGAGTTACAGTAACTTCTCAATTTACCTCTTGCTTTTCTTCTAAAGGCTTCATCTGTTCCTGATTTCTAATGAATTCTTCCTCCATGAGAAGATAATCTTTAATTCTCTCCAACTTCAGTAATTTTAACCGGCACTGAGTGTGAGGCGTCACTGTATTTTAAAAAAAATGAAGTTTTATTGTCCCTGAAGCTTGAAGTTGGCAATTAATTCAGTTTTTTCTTAAGAAAAAGAAGACTTAAAATACGTTTACTTTAGACAGACTCTGAACAGTTTCAAAGTTTGGAGACCCTAATTAAGCAGGTGCCTAAATGCAAAGGGTCAGGATTTTGGCAGTTACAAGCCAGCCTATAAAAATGGGGATGAGGTCTACGACCAAACAACTGATGTGTAATGAATATACTAACTGAATAGTGTGTGTGTGTGTGTGTGTGTGTGTGTGTGTAAAAAAAAAAATCACAGATCCAAAAAACAGTTTGTTTTGGCTTATCACTTCCCACAGTGCTAATAAAAATGTGCACACGTGCTGTTCAGCCAGCACACCTTGTTGCACACTAGCTGTAACACACGTTCCATCATACGACTATGAAACGTTAGGGATGTTAACATGCAGAAACATTTTTTCCCCACACTCTTGGGCTGTTTCTTTTGGCTTGACTTCTTACATTTTACAGGAATTTTTACTTTTTTAAAGAAAAGATTTATTTTTAAAGAGGGGAAGGGAGGAAGAAAAAGGGAGAGAAACACCGATGTGTGGCTGCCTCTCATATGCCCCCTGCTGGGGACCTGGCTCACAACCCAGGCATGTGCCCTGACTGGGAATTGAACTGGCAGCCATTTGGTTCACAGGCTGGCGCTCAATTCACTGAACCACATCAGCCAGGGTGGAATTTTAAAATTTATACAAGTAACCCTGTCACTATTTTCTCTTATGGTATTGGGTTTCTTGACTTCAAAAGGTCTCTCCTCCCCTAAGGTTCATGAATTTATTCCTGAGTTTTCATTACTTATTTTCAGATGTATACCTATAATCCATCTGGCAAAAAGCAGGGGGTCTATTATCATTTTCTTTCAATAGCAAAGGACGCCAGCCATTTACATTAAATAACCTATCCTCTTTCCACAGAACTAAAACATCAGCTTTACCATATATTAATTATCCGTGTAACCTGACTTTGTTTTTGAACTTTCAGTGATCTGATTTATTCTTTTTTTTTTAAGATTTTATTTATTTTTTACTTTTAGACAGAGGGGAAGGGAGGGAGAGAGACAGAAACATCAGTGTGTGGTTGCCTCTCATTAGGCCTCCACTGGCAACTGGCCTGTAACCCAGGCACGTGCCCTGACTGGGAATCGAACTGGTGATCCTTTGGTTCACAGCCTGCATGCTCAATCCACTGAGCTACACCAGCCAGGGCTGATTTATTCTTTTTAATACCATACCGATTCATTACAGTAGATTGATGGCACATTTTTTACTGTCTGAGTCCTTTCTTAACCAAGTAGTATTTAAAAAATTATTTCATCTAAGCAGGAAGGGACCTGTTTAGACAGTGGTGGGCAAGGTACTTGAGCTGAAGCCTAAAGGGGTGGGAAGCAGGCGGGCGGCCATGGGGAGGGCGGGGAAGAATATTCTGAAGCAGGGCGCAAGGCCCAACGTGCAGAGGAGCCAAAGAGAACAAGGCCATGGGCATGACCAGCAGAGGGTGTGGTGGGGCTGAAGATGGCCTCGTGGGCTGGGCCAGGTCACCTAGTTTGAGTTTTATTCTACGTTTTATATATATATATATAAATAAATATGAATAAATATAAATATATATATTTATATTTTTATTTATATTTTTATTTATATTTATATTTATATAAATGCACTTCCAAGTTACTCAAGCTCAGCCTGGGTTTTCTAATTCAAAACTGTACTTTTGAGGAACTGGTTAAAGCTTCTTAAAGTGAGACGGTTGAAACCAAAGTATAGCTCTGATTCCTACCTAGAGAAACGCTCCACTAAGAGAGAGAATACAGCCATGGAGCTACAGCTTCAACCACACCCCTGTTTCGGTTTGTACGTGGACCTCTAATTACAATGCACAGTCGCTTCCCCTGGGGATCAGAGACAGCTAGGAAGAGCCATGTGGTTACCCAGTGGCAGTTTGCTGGCAGCATCGGGCCCCTTGGTTTTCTTCTTCTTTTTCCCCACCCTAGTTGGTACGGGAGGTTCGTACTTCTTTTTCTTGTCCTTGAGTTTTCAGAACAGCAGGGGGAAAACAATCACACAAGTCACATTAAAACACAGGCTCATGTCTGTAGGACTACTGTCCATTTCCAGATGATACAATTTTTCTTATCTTTTAGGATGCTATTAAAAACTGTCTTAAAAACGAAGTTTTACATTCCTGCAATTTTAACATGTGAATGTAATCAATTTCTTTTTATAATATACAATGATAGATTTTTTCAATAAAGAACAGAGAGGTTAGAATTGAGTTAAATGCCCAAAGTTTGTGCTGCTATAACTTGAGACAGTTCTTCACATCCCAGGATTTTACACTAAAGTTGCAAGCAGTTTATTTCATCATCTCTATAATGTGTAAATTACTTTTACACATTTAAAATCATTAATAATCTTTTTAAAACCATGTAAAAGGTACTGACTATAGCTGTAGGCCAGGCTGGTTAAATAACTACAGCATCATTTATTTTGCATTTTAAGATTCGTGAATCCCAAAGGACCCAGCTGAGACCGATGACACTCCCCACATGTGCTCACATCACCAATACCTCTGGCTCTTGATTTACCTTGTCATCCTTCTTGCCACCTCCGGGACCATGACCACCACTCTGACTTTGACCCTGAAGGTGGGGGTGGGTGGGAAGAGGTATAAGTTCAGAATTGATCACTTGAATATCTTTCTTATTTCCCTGAGATTCTAAGACACTAGAATGTCCCCCTCATTTTAACATTTCTGAACCCAAGGTGTACTTGGAGTCAATGAACGCATTTAGTCTGGCAGAATTTTTTTTTCCCTGAAAAGCTGTGAGTGCTCAATGGTACTTGAAACTGATTGCATCTTAAACCAAGGACAACTCCATCAACAAACAGAAATGATTAACGTGTACCGTAATGAGGCAAGATTCTACACCCTCCCCACTTCTTGAGGGGAAGGTACAGAGTTTCGTGTTCTTTCATCTAAAACTCCCTGAGGCCACCTAAAGTGTATTTGTGAAATTAGGCCATGAAAGCTAAATCATTTTCCCTTTTCAACAATTAAATTATTCAATCATTTACTCCTTACTAAGATCCAGGAGACTCCTTTCAACAGCAAGTTACACACCTACCATCCCTAAAGCCTGGAGCTCTCAGGTACGTCTCCTCTCCTCTCCTCACCGGAAAAGCTGAATCACCTTAAGGTATCAAGAACTTGAGTGCATTGGAGTTCCAGTCAAGATGGAGGTGTAGGCAGAAACCCTTCACTTCCTCACACAACCAAAAGGAAGACAACGACAAATCTAAAACAATAAAACAACCAGAAGTGCCAGAAAATCAAAGTGCATGAACTCCGACAACCAAGGAGTTAAAGAAGCATTCACCACACCGACAGCACAACGAAGTGGCAAAGAGGGTTGTCTCTCCTGGGCGAACACTAAGGCCCCGGCCCCCAACATAACAGGCACACCAAGACAAAGAAAAATGGCCCAAATGAAAGAACGGATCAAAATTCCAGCAAAAGAGCTAAGCAATGAGGAGATAGCCAACCTATCAGATGCAGAGTTCAAAGCACTAGTAATCAGGATGCTCACAGAACTGATTGAGCTTGGTCACAAATGGAAGGAACAGAGAGGCTACCCAAAGTGAAATAAAGCAAAGGAAGTCCAGGAAGCCCAGAGAGTCTCAAAGAAGTTGGACCCAAGGAAGCGCACACCAAGACACATTGTTAATTAAATCACCCATGATTAAAGATAAAGAATCTTAAAAACAGCAAGAGAAAAGGAGACAGTTACCTACAAAGGAGTTCCCATAAGACTTTCAGCTGATTTCTCAAAAGAAACATTACAGGCAACAAGGGTCTGGAAAGAAGTATTCCAAGTCATGAAAGGCAAGGACATACATCCAAGATTGATCTATCCAGCAAAGCTATCATTTAGGATGGGAGGGCAGATAAAATGCTTCCCAGATAAGGTCAAGTTAATAAAGGAGTTCATCATCACCAAGCCTTTATGAAATGCCAAAGGGACTTATCTAAGAAACAGAAGAAGATAAAAAACTAAGAACAGTAAAATGACAACAAACTCACAACTATCAACAACTGAACTAAGGAAGGAAGGAAACAAAAACTAAGCAAACAACTAGAACAGGAATAGAACCAGAGAAATGGAGATCACCTGGAGGGTTTTCATGGCGAGGGGGAGGGAGAAGATGGGAGGTAGAAAGGTACAGGGAATAAGCAGCATAATTGGTAGGCATAAAATAGATGGGGAGAGGTTCAGAGTGGTACAGGAAACAGAGAGGTCAAAGAACTTACATGTATGACCCATGGACATGAACTAAGGGGGGAGGCTGGAGGGTTGGGGGATGCAGGACAGAGGGGGAATAAAGGGGGGAAATTGGAAAAACTGTCATAGTATAATCATTACAATACACTTTAAAAAAGAACTTAAGTTCATTAATAATAGGCTTCAGTGGGATTTCTGATTTTAAAAGACCTTTCGGTTACAGGACAATGCTTACCACAGAGCAATGTCTCAGAAATGAGAGCATTTTAAACAAGTTAACAGTGAACGCTCCTGATTGGGGGCCTTCTCAGACCCCTCAAATCGCCTCTACACAGGCACCTCTATCAAGACAACCACATCACAGTCGTCTACAAGAGTCAAAGTTACATGCATGTCCCCACATGCAGGCTTCTTAAAACTGTGGTTTATCCTGAAGGTAACTAAGGGCTCTGAGAAATTTGGGGAAACAGCTGTACTGCAACAGACTGTCCAAATTATGGGTCTTTACCAGTTACTTACAACTCCTAGGAAATCTGCTGTTGGCCGGGGCAGCTCAGGCTTGCGGGTGCTTACTTTGTGCCCAAGTCTGTACTAGACACTCTCCTTCACTGTCACTGACTCCACAGTCCTTCAAGGTCGGGTTCATTATTCCCACTTTCTGGGTGAGGAACTACAACAAACCTATGGCCTTAGCTGCACCCAGGTTTGAATTCTGGTCCCACCACTAACAGGCTAGGTGACCTCGGTAAGTGGGATCACCTGCCTGAGCCTTGGTGTCCTTAACTGGAAAGCGTGGATGACACTAGCTCCTATCTGTTACCGAAAATGAAGTAGCACACAGAAACCACTTAGTATTTACAAGACTCACAGTAACTGCTCCCCGAGATTGTACTATCGGTGAGTAAGAAGTGCCAGGCCCAGGATTTTGTCGGTCTGGTTACAGATCTGGCCGCTGAAACAAGTCCGCTCTGCCCCAGCACACACCTGTGGGTGCTCGCGCTCCCTCACTCTCTCTCGTCTGCCCGACCTCTGTTCCGGTCATCTGGAACAACCCGCGCCAGTCAGCACGCCATCGTATCTGATCTGGGCTCAGCCTCCCAACTGAGATCCCCACGTCCAGTTTCTCCCCCCACCAATGCAACTCTCTCCTCCTCAAACAAATAGCCGTTCCTTTAATTCTCCTTAAAAACCATCACCTGTGCCCTAGCATTAACGGTGTGACTGACATCCAATCACTTTAGCTCAGCACCTCGGCCATTGCCCAACTGGCTGCAGGCTCAACTGCTTTGCAGATAAACTTTCTCAGGAGCCTTTGAGTCCAGCCCCACCAAGGATGTTTTCCTGAACGATCCCAAACTTCTTTAGGTCTGGGGCACGCTACATGCCTGATGTTTCTCAGTCTCAGTGAACAAATGCACCCATTGTCGAGCCAGACTACACGCCAAGCAATGTGCTGAACATGCTCGGGTTGTAATCTCCTTAATTCTTACAGGCACTGGCATCACCTCTAATTTACACAGAAGAACACTAAGGCCCAGAGAAGGAACGCGTGTTGTCACAAAGCGCGCCAGAGACATAGCCAGGAGTCACACGCCCGTCCACCGGCCACCAGGATCTGCGTGTCTCCAGGGCAGGGCCATCCGAGTCCAGCACAGCAAAGGCTCCAGGAAAGACCCATGGGGCTCGTGCTCTCACACAGCCGCCTACGGTGTCTCTCTTTCCTCCCTGACCAAGTGAAGATCAGAATGACCTCAAAGGACTGTTGTGAGAAAAAAGAGAACATGCCGGAAAAGCGCCTGACATGTCCTTAGCGTAACCCCCCCTAAGTCCTTATAACACCTACGTGGCTACGTTGCCGGGCCTTGCCGTTCACCACACAGGCCAAGCAGTCCCTTCTCCTTCAGATACGCGCTTCTGTCTCACTGTATTCAGCTGCGTTCAAATCTCCCCTCCAGCGAGCCACCCTCCCCGTGCCACGCTTTTCTACACAACAGCCATATAGCCACGGCCACTCCATCTCTCTCATCCAGACATCACGTTCCTTCTCTATTTCTGGCTGCCTTACCTAGAACGTAAGCCTCACGAAGGCAGAGACCGTCAATCACGCTCAACCCCTACATCCTCCGTGCCTACAACGGAGCCTGCCCCATCCTCCAAAGGGCAGGTGCTCAGTAAACCCTTGTTTAGTGAACTAAAGAATAAACGCCAGCTGTTTTTACTGTTACTAATGCACCACAGGGCCTCTCCCTCCGATTTCCACCGGTCCTAAAAGCGTCAGTCTCCAAGGCCTCCTTCCAACGCCCCGCTCTCCCCGGCTCAATTCGAACGAATCCCTCCCTCTGGTCACCCATCCCTCCACCTGAGAGGCTCCGACAGAAAAGAGTTCGTCCCAGGTACTTGGGGCGGCTCCCACTGAAACAACCCGCACCGGTCAGCAGAGCCCCGGTTGGCGGAGGCGCAAAGCCGGGGGACCTGACTCGCCCCGGGGCCCCACTGGTCCGTCTGAGGCAGCCTCTGCGCCGGCCCGGACCCCCCGAACAAGGCCCTCTGGTCGGCCACGGCCCGCGGTAAACTTGAACACCGTCTCTCGGGGCCTCCTTGCCCCAAGGAGACTCAGCCGGCGGGGAAGCGGGTGGGCCGAGTGCCTCGGGAAGCCACCTCATTCCCTCGTTTCGGGGCGCTCGAACCCCGTCACAGCCCGACCACCAGCCAAAACCCTTAGTCACTCACCATTTTGACTCGGCTGCGGGAGCCGCCGCTGCAGGAAGTGCAGGCGCACCGTCGATTGTCAGAAGCGGAAACTGCCGAGGGCCGCTACGGAGGCCGGGAGGAGCCAAACCCCGCACGGACGGCGCGCGCTCCCGCGGTTCCTGCAGGGGTGGGGCGCGTTGGCGCAATGGTATCTGGTAATAAGCGAACCTTGTAAATATTTTACTTGAGAAAAAATTTCTGAATCGCAGCAATTAGACTGTCGTCAACGACTTAAGACAACAGTCTCAACTGTCAGAGAATTAAGTAATTGTGAAAATATAAAATACGTGCAAAAACCATAACTGGGAAGAACTTTCCTTATTTATTGCTCCAAGAACTGAAATGGCATTCGGAACTGTGAGGCTGAGTTACACTTTTGCATCAACACTTAAGTTATTATTTGATCTCTGGCATTAACCCGCACAACTGAGGGTATTTCTTTGTCTAACAAGTTAGCTAAATTTGTTTTTCTTCCGAATGACTTGTGGCTTCTGATGATGCCAAATGTCTTAAGTCCTCATTTTGCATCTAGTTGGTACCGTTCCTCATTTATCACACCCACCAGGACTTCGGGAAGATAGCAAGCATCCCCTTGTTCTCTGGAAACTTCCACCGCGGGTTCACAAAAGGCTGCATCTTGCTGAGCTGCAGAGATGGATTTTTTTTTTTCTGTTCCAGATTAATGTAAGCATTTTAATCGTTGCATCTAGTTCGCTAAAAATATTTTACTAATAAACACACGCCAGGCACACAAGACACCACCAGCAAAATACTGTACTAGAAAGCCCTGGCCCCTCGGACCTTCACTAACAAATCCGGCGCCTGCAGGACACTTGACGTGATGCGGGTGAGGGGCAAGGCGACGCCCAGGAACGGTGAAGGTTATGTCTAGGTGTCACATTCAAAGACATGCAGCCTAATTATCAGAACTTAAGAACATTTGCATTCTGAAGGACGAGCATGAAGAGGTGCCCTCTGAAAGCTGAGCGAAACGTGCACGTTTCTTCTCCCGATGGCTGACTCTCTCAGTGCTGCATACCCAGCTGACAGCCACCTCTGCAACACTCCCTCTGGCAACTTTCAACCTCCCCAGGTGCCTTGTGGCCCAAACCATCGTTCTGCCTGCCTCCCGGCTTTCTCTTAGCGATTCACTATGTAAATAGACTTCACTTCCCTGCTCTCCTATGTTTTACCTACATTTTACCAGTTTCTTGGATTTCCCTAACCAAAGGGGTACAGGAACTGACCGAATCATGGACCCAATCTTTCTGCCTTAGAAAGGAGGGGTGGAGTTGGTTTCCCAGGGCGGTGCCAACCCTGATGGGACCCTTAGGAAAGGTGAGGGGCAGCTTTGGATCGTCAGGACGATGAGGGACGTGACTGGCATTTGGGTGTAGGGTGGACGAGGACCCCATGAGCCTGATGGTCCCGAACAATGAAACATCCGTATTTGGTATGACTTTCAAGTGTCTTCCCCCGGGGCACCTTGTAGTGGAAAAAACTACGCATGATGATCAGAGCCTAGAAACAGACTCTTTTCAACCATGAACTTTTTCTTCTCAAGGCTTGATTTCTGCTGTCAGACAAAAGCCTCAGGGAAGGGTTTTAACCTCGCTTAGATGTTGGTGGGAAAGGAAGTTCAGCACCTGGGGAGGAAGACTCAGTCATAGGAACTTATGACAGTGGAGGGCAGAGCGGAGAGGAAGGGGCAGAATGTGGCAAGTGGTGGGAGCTCAGGACGAGCCTGGGGACTGGACAGGGCAGGCCCAGGGACAGTGCCGTGCGGCGCGAGGGACACTGGCCCCAGTCAGAGGCAGGGGTCAGCTTCTGGCCTTTTCTTTACCCGGATGTGTGGCCGTGGGTAAGTCCCACCCCTCACTGGGCCTTCCTCAATATCCTTACCTTAAAAAGAAATCTTAAAAATTATAATGAGGAGGGAGTAGGGTGGGTGGAGGTGGACGAGCATATAGGAGGGATAAATGGTAATGGAAAAATAAATAAACAATAATAAATAATAAATGATATATAATAAATATAAATTGATAAAATAACAATATTAAAACTATATGATAAAAAAGACTAATTTCTTCAAGTTAGAGACTATCCGCAATCAACCTTTGCATGCTCTACAAAGTGGATGCTTGGCAAACAGCAGCAGAATGAACTGGATCAGTAAGAAGTGTTCCTCGCTGAAAGGAAGCATCAAGCATACGGTAGAAAAGCCAAAATATGGTTCCTGCCGCTCGGTTATCCCACAGATATTTATTAAACCAGTACGATGTGCTAGGCGCTGAGGATTTATATCAAGAAGACAACAAGCTTAACCCTCCAAAAACATACAGTTTAGTGTGGTGCTTACAATTCCACACTCTTAAAACATCAAGGTAATAAGGGAAGTAGAAGGGACAGAATCCTTGATAAACCCATTTAGAAGTGGGTCTTTTTCTATCACAAAAGTGAAGGAACAGTCTGGCAGCTCCTCAAAAGGTTGAGCATGGAGTTACCCTCCGGCCCAGCAATTCTACTTGTCGGTGTACACCTGAGCCAAAGACAAAGGTGTGTCCAATGTGACCTGCACGTGGAAGTTCACAGCAGCTTCACTCATCAAAAAGTTTTTTGGGTTTTTTAATGAGTACAATGGAGTATTATTCAGAGGTAAAAGCAACAGAGTCTGCTACATATAACATGAACAAACCTTGAAAAGATGTTCAGTGAAAGAAGCCAGTCACGGGAGACCACATGGCATGAGCTTCCGTTCGCGTGAAACATCCAGAATAGGTTAAGTCAGTGGAGATGGGAGGTAGTTTGGCGGTTTCCCTGGGGAGGGAGGGGGTTGGGGAATGACAGCTGACGGGTAGGGGGCTCCTTTGGGGGTGAAGAGAATGCTACAGAATTTCCCGTGGCGATGGCCGGTCTACCTGTGCATACAGGTTGCCTCGGGAGTCCAAAAGCAGAGTGGGCCTCTGAAACCTTTTCTAAACCGATGTGGCGTAAAGCGAAGAAATGATTGCCTTAGCACACATGGTGCTATTTTCGCCTTTTTCCCCTAAAAGCAAGAATCCTTTTCGGATTTTCTCTAGTTGGTGAAAACAGATCCTAATGTAGGACTTTTGTCAATGTGAAGCGGCTGTACAGTGAACTTTCGAAAAGCAGGGCACAGCTGTTTACTAAAAAACATTGACTAGCACACTTAAAAAAGGTAGATTGTGTGGCTATGCATTATATCTCAATAAAGCTGCTATATTTACATAAAAGAGAGGGAGGGGTGGTGTCGTCCAATGGTTAAGGGCAGAGCATCTGAGGCCAGCTGCCTGGGTTCGATCCCCAGCTTGGCACCCGTGTCACGTCGGTGTGTGGCCCCAGGCGTGAGTTTCTCCACCTGCAAATCGGGTGTGCCGAGACACCCCAGTAGTGGAACCACAGTGCTTGTTAAGAAGTTACAACAGTGCCTGGCATATCGGAAGCATGACACAAGTTTGTTAAATAATTTTTTAAGATTTTATTTACTTTTTAAAAATATATTTTATTGATTGTACTATTACAGTTGTCCCATTTCCCCCTCTTCATTCCCCTCCACCCTGCATACCCCCTCCCACCCACATTCCCCTCCTTTAGTTCATGTCCATGTGTTATTCGTTCTTTAGCTTCTACATTTCCCACACTACTCTTGCCCTCCCCCTATTTTCTCCCCACCGTCTATGCTACTTACTCTCTGTACCTTTCACCCCCCTCTTCCTCCCACTCCCCTGCTGCTAACCCTCCCCGTGATCTCCATTTCTGTGGTTCTGTTCCTGTTCTAGTGGTTTGCTTAGTTTGTTTCTGTTTTTGTTTTAGGTGTGGCTGTTAATAATTGTGAGTTTGCTGTCATTTTACTGTACATGTTTTTTATCTTCTTTTTCTTAGATAAGTCCCTTAAGATTTCACATAATAAGGGCTTGGTGATGATGAACTCCTTGAACTTGATTTATCTGGGAAGCACTTTATCTGCCCTTCCATTCTAAATGAAAGCTTTGTTGGATAAAGCAATCTTGGATGTAGGTCCTCACCTTTCATGACTTGGAATACTTCTTTCTAGCCCCTTCTTGCCTGCAAGGTCTCTCTTGAGAAATCCGCTGACAGTCTGATGGGGACTATTTTGTAGGTGACTGTCTCTTTATCTCTTGCTGCTTCTAGGATTCTCTCCTTCATTTTAATCTTGGCTAATATAATTATGATGTGCCTTGGTGTGTTCCTCCTTGGGTCCACTTTTTTTTGGACTCTCTGAGCTTCCTGAACTTCCTGGAAATCTATTTCCTTTGCCAGATTGGGAAGTTATCTTTTATTATTTGTTCAAATAAGTTTTCCACTTGTTGCTCTTCCTATTCCCTTTCTGGTATCCCTATAATTCGCATGCATGTTGGAACATTTAAAGATGTCCTGGAGGTTCCTAAACCTCTCATTTTTTAAAATTCTTGTTTCTTCATTCTTTTCTGTTTGGTTGTTTCTTTCTTCCTTCTGGTCCACTCCATTGATTTGAGTCCCAGTTTTCTTCCCATCATTATTGGTTCCCTGTGCATTTTCCTTCATTCCACTTAGCACAGCCTTCATTTTTTCATCTAATTTATGACCAAATTCAACCAGTTCTGTGAGCATCCTGATCACCAGTGCTTTGAACTGCACATCTGATAGGATGGCTATCTTGTGGCTGTTTACTTGTATTTGCTGTGGAGCTTTGTCCTTCCGTTTGGGCCATTTTTTTTGGGGTCTTGATGCACCTGTTACATAGTGAGGGGTGGAGCCTTAGGTGTTCACCGGGTGGGGCAACCCATGTTGCTGGGTTGTGACCTCTGTGTGTGGGGGCAGGGTCAGAGAGGGAACAATGGCACTTACTCCACTCTCTCTTGGATTTCAGTCCCCTCTGCTGCTTCCCCCAAGCAAACTGGGCCTTTCTGGTGCTGGTTCCTGGGTGGGTGGGCTTGTGTACGTTCTAGGACCCTGTGGGTCTCTCCAACAAACTCTCCTGTGAGGCTGGAAGTCTCTCCCGGCACCTCAGCCCCCACAGGTGTTTTCAATCGGTGTTTTGAGGCTTTATTTCCCTGTGCTGGGACCCTGGGTTGCGCGGTCTGACTGCGCTTCACAGTCGCTGCCTTGCTGGGTCTGCCAACTGCCACCTCGCACCCGGGGTCTGCCAGCCGCGGCCTGTGTGCCTGGGGTCCAGCTGCTGCGGTCTTGCACGCCTGGGGTGCTTTTCGCACCCATGCCACAGCTTTTTGTGCTGCGACCCCTCTCTGCTCAGCCGCCTGGCTCCACCCCCGCTTACTGGTCTGGATGAATGTGTCTGTTTTATCTCTTTGGTTGTCCAACTTCCATACAGTTCAATTTTCTGTCAGTTCTGGTTATTATTTTGTTTCTAAATTGTTGTTCTTATTTTGGTTGTGCAAGGAGGCAGAGTGTGTCTACCTACGCCTCCATCTTGGCTGGAACTGTTAAATAATTTTTTAAATGAAGCATTTTGGTAAACAACTTGGAGTTTCAACATTTGCCACCAGAAATAACCCCCAGTCTTAGGGCTCTGTGTCTAGTGATTGTGTGCAGTTCAGATACTCACCAGCAGAGGGAGCCACACACCCAAAATAGTGCACAATGGCCGTCACAGAAGTTCCTTATGGGGCAGTCCTTGCTCTTCGGTTCCCAAAAAGCTTTGACTCCCTTCTTTCTTACTGCGGCCCTGGAGCCCTTCACCTGGGGAAGCCTGGTGGATCTACTTGCTGGCATCTCTGTGGCCACCCACCCTGTCCAGGCTGCACCTGGCGGGCCCACCCGCGCAGGAGGGAGACTGGCCCTGCCAGAGGCCCTCTTGGTGCTGTAACCAAAGCATCCCACTGCCCTCGGACCCCGAGTCACCAGGGATCCCTTTCCCCCTCGTTTCTGTTCCCCATCAGTTCCCCTGGACATGGGATCCCCAAAGATAACTACAGCCAGAAACTTAGATTCCACTGCACTTGCCAAGTGCCCACTGACTCCCCAGACATCAGCTCGAGGGCCCACCGTGGAGCTTCGAGTTTGCTGTGTTACTCTCATTTTGCAGATGAGAAATTGGGGCCCAGAGACATTAAACGACCTGCTCGAGAGCACACCCTGACAGGCACTCGTGTCTAACTGAGACACTCCGGTTCCCAGCCTTCATTTTCACCGCCCTTTTGTCTCAAAAAACCCACAGGGGTCTGGGGCTGGGAGGCCCCCTGACATTCTGCTTCTGCAGCTTCCCACCCAGGTGTCCAGTGACCCGGCCAGCCCCTGGGGACCCCTTGACCACCACTTGGGGACATCTCTGTGTGGCTTCCTCCACTTAAACACTGTAGGGACCCTAGGGTTGGAATGAAGGTTATTTTAAGCTGAAAAGATTTGAGATTCAACAGATGCAGAAACAATCCTTCTGGGAGCTCCTCTTCGCTGACTTAGCAGCAGCTACTGGGACACGAGGCCACCGTGAATCCCTTGCGGGGCGGTGTCCCAGCGGAGAGGCGTGGGGTGAGCTGGCCTGGAATTCCCTCTCCGGTGGGTTATGGCTCCGAAGGACACAGAAACCCTGCTTATGCTGCCTAGACAAACATCGTCACAAAGTTTCTTACCTTCCACTAGGTCTAAAAATCTGTCTTTTTTTATCACCACCAATTTGTTCTTCCCTTAGAGGTCCTTCCCCCCCCCCATTTCCCTGCTGGTGTATAAAAACCCTCTAAGATGAACCATTTATGGAACAAACTGCCTGTTTCTTTTGTGAGCTCCAGGTGCATATTAAAAAAAACCCTTTTCTCCTGTTAACATGTTACTTGTCAGCTTAAACCTCATGTCCCCAGTCAATACACCTAAGAGAGTGGAAGGAAAGTTCTTCCTGTCCCACAACACCATCCACCCAGGACACCTGGTCCCTGACCCTCACACCTGATCCTGGCCATGGCCGTATCTCCTCATCCTTCTCTCTGGGACTTATTACGAGTAGTGGAAGCTGGGTGACCTTGAGCAAATCACTTGACCTCTCTGAGCCTCAGTTTCCTTCCTGTAAGGTTAGATGTTAAATGAGAAAATGCACACTAGTCCACACCAGGCTCTGGAAGGTCTGTCAGGTTGGAGAGCCAGGACTCTGAGGAGCTGGCTGGCAGGCTCTCCAGGGCTCGTATACAGGGCAGGGCAAAAGTAGGTTTACAGTTGTTCGTATGGAAAATAACACAATAATTAATAAATAATAATGCAAGAATAAACTCTGTTTCATGTACTCAAATATGAACCTACTTTTGTTCCACTCCTTAGAGGGGATTATTGTTACTTATCATCTCTCCAGCCGCTCCTCCCGTATCACCCAGCCTTTAGCCAAACTGCGCTCCTTCCGGATTCTTGCCCATGCCCTGGGATTCCTACCTCCTGGTCTCTACTCACACTTCTCACTCTGCACTAGCCACCGAACTCCTCCCCAGCCTTCAAAACCCATCCGAATGCCTCCTGCCAACAAAGCTTTTCCTGACCCCCCTGAAGGCCATGCTCCTGCCCTCCTTTCTTAGTAAGGCCTATTCACCCACTGACTCAGTTATGGCGATTGTATATCTCTCATCCTCTTTCTGGGCCTGGAAGCTTTTAGAGTAGCAGATACAGAACCATATCTGTTTCGTATCTGTCCTGGGCTCTGTGTGTGGTTCAGTGGCTTGTGTATGGGGGAAATGCAAGGGACTTCCTAGAAAATGGAACTGAGATCATGGAGGGACAGGTGCAAGCAGCCCAGTGTCTGAGGCGCCGTCACTGTCTGCCTGAACTTGAACACCGGGCCAGCGGGGCCACCCAGCAGTGACTGCAGGCCCGGTCAGCCCGCAGGCTTCCCCCAGCTCCCAGCAGGAATCAGCCACACGGTGGGGGAAGCCCTTGTGGAGGTAAGATCGTGTGCAGTTTGTTAACAGGCATGTTCACCAAATGTCAAAGCGTGGCTTTCTCTGTCTCTGCAAAGCCTGCTCGACAGAGCAAGCTCTCTGGGGAGATGCAGCAGGCGGCCTTGGAGCAGCTGAAAAGCCAGCTGCCGGGAAGATTCCAGCCAAGCAGCCGCCAGCAGCAGTGGGCTAATTGGTGGGGTCCCAGTTGCAGCGTTAATAGTAAACATTACCCCCAAGGTGCCTGAGCAGTGAGCTGACATGAGACAGCTGAGGGACAGAGAGGGGTGAGCGAAGTCCTGCCGGTCACAGGGCTCGGGCTCCTTCTCCACCCTGCGAGGGATCTGGGGCTGCATGGCTGGGCATATGCCCACTGGATTTCAGGGGGCTGTCCTGGAGCACTTACTGAGCACCTGCTGTATACGTGCACATTAGCTCAGGGATTAGAGAACCTGGCTCTACCATTTGTAGGATGACAACCAATTTTGTCTCATTTCTTCAACTGTGATATGGGGACAATGATGGTGACAGCAATGACAGTTTCTACAGTTAACTCCTCACTTAATGTTCTCAACAGGTTCTCAGAAACTGTGACTTTAAGCAAAACACTGCAAAACAAAGCCAACTTCACCATAGGCTGGTTGGTATGAGTAAGAGTGGCGTCCCTATGACATATTTCTGGTCACAAAACATCACCTAACTCCGAAATAAAGACCCCAAACCCTTCTCATATGAGACACTGAAATAGACGTAAGCTCTACACACATTTGAGAAAGATGAATAAAAACAAGTACGATACTGGTTTTCCAACCTTGCTTTAGCTCAGGATCGTGGGGGTTCTGAGCCTGTCCTGCAAGCTCAGGGCACCGCGCTGGACGCACCCCGGACAGGACGCCCCGTCCCGCAGGATGTGCACGGGTGTGTGTGCACGCACTCACTGGCACTGGCGCAGGCAGAGCAAACGCACGTGTTCACCTCCCGAGCACACCTTCGGGATGTGGGAGGACACCGGAGGACGCAGAGAGAACGCACGTGGACGTGGGGACGGTGCGCAGCCACGCTGACCGTGGCCCCACCCCCGGAATTGTTTTTTTTCTTGTCGATGTTATAACAGAGCGACGTTGAACAAAGTGACATTATTTGGGGACCCGATGTATCTGATGAGCACTTTCAGTGTGCCAGGCTCTCTTCCCAGAGCTTTCCAGCCACTGGTCATATCCAGGCCTCCCGACAGCCCAAAATATGGAACCTGCAGAGAGAAAAGCACGGCGCAGAGGATGTGCTGGTGTTCGCATAGAGCCCCTCCCCCAGTTCATGTCCTTCCCAGAACCTCAGACTGTGACCTTACTCAGTTATTTAAAAGTGGGGTCAGTGCAGATGTGATTGGTTACTTTGGGTGGGTCAAGACTGGGATTAATATGTGAGTAGGATGGGCCCTTAACCCAGGACGACTGGCATCTCAGTAAAAAGAGGAGTCCTAGCCCGCAGAACTGCGGGGCAATACCTTTCTGTTGTTTCTGGGCTCTCAGTTAAAGGGACTTACCTAAGGAAAAGAAGATCCAGGACTATGCACAGTAAAATGACAAAAACTCACAACTGTCCACAACCGAACCTAAAAAAACAAACGGAGCAAGCAACTAGAACAGGAACAGAATCACAGAAATGGAGATCACATGGAGGGTCGTCAGTGAGGAGGGGGCGGGGAGAGAATGGGGAAAAGGTACAGGGAGTAAGAAGCATAAATGGTAGGCACAGAATAGGCAGGGAGGTTAAGAATAGTACAGGAAATGGAGAAGCCAAAGAACTTATATGTAAGACCCATGGACATGGACTGGGGAGAGGGGGGCTGCAGGTGGGAGGGGGTGCAGGGCAGAGGGGAATAAAATGGGGGGAATGGGACAACTGTAATAGCATAATCAGTAAAATATATACTTTTTAAAAAGACAGTCAGTTTGTGGCACTTTGTTCCAGCAGCTTTAGGAAACTAACCCAGAGAGGTTAAGTAACTTGCCCAAGGCTGCACAGCACGGAGGCAGAGCCCCTGGGATTCCAGAGACCTGGTGATGAGCAATTCCTCTTTAATGAATGAGTCGGTTGTGTAAATCAGTGCCTGGATCAGAGCAAGAGCTGAACGAGCACCATTATGGTTACTGTTGTCAACAATTATCCATTGTCGTGGGCTTGCTCCCTCCTCCTCACACTCCGTGGGGTTGACGCGAGGGTCACGAAGCCGATGAGTGTCTTGGTGTCACTCGAGATCCAGACAACGAGAATCACATTATCCTTAACGTTAGCAGAGACAATGAGGAGAAGAGAAAGGACAGGTAATGTTTCTCCACAACCCACCGAGGGGCGTTTGGTTAAAGCGGCACCGGCTCATCTAGATGAGAGGGAGGAGGAAAGTCGGCAGCTCTGCTGTCTTCGGAAGGGAACTTGAGACCTCCCTGCTGCGTCATTTATGTCACCAGATGCTGCCACGTACAAGGCACGAGGGAGGGAAGGATGTCCCCCCCGAACTCACCTTTGGCCACGTGACTTGGCAGCTGCCCTCGCTTCCACGGGTGGTGCATCGTTCCCTGCCTTTGACTTTGGGCAGACCACGTGACTTACATTGCTCCATAGAACGGGAGGAAGTGACGGTATGCTTAATCTTTTGAGTGTCCACCGGCCCTCTGGTGCCTCTGCCACTGCCGTGAGAAGAACGTTCCAGGGCAGCTTGCCGATCCCGGAGGAGGATGAGAGACCCCGGGAGCAGAGCCGCCTCCATCAGCGAGCCCACCCTGCATCAGCGAGCCCAGCTGCAGACCAGTGAGTAAAATCAACGCTCACTGTCATTTGCCACGGAAGTTCTGATTTTGTTTGCTATGAGGTATGACTGTAGCCAAAGCAAACTGATGCCATCTCCCCACCAAGGACTTCCTCCCTTATAGACCCAGGTCTGCAAGGGATGCTCCAGTCACCTAGAGCTCTGACCCACAGTGAGACTCAAAGAGCAGTGAAGGAGTCCCCTCAAGCTGCCACGGGGGTTTAGGGGTAGAGTATATTGTCACACGGTGGCACCTAATGACTATACGACCTTAGACTATACTAACTTCCTTAAATCTCTGTCTCATGTTTTCATCTGACATGGAAATGAAAATACGTTCCCCTTGGAAATGATTTGAGCTTTCAAGGAAACGGTCTAGCATAGCACCCGGAACATAGTAATGTCAGTAAGTGTTAGTTCCCTAACAAATGAAGTATTTGGAGGCCTCACACTGGACTTGACCTTGAGAACTCTTGTTCCATTAGCTCTGCTGGGACTGAGTCCTCATTCCACACTAATTGGATTAGTGGCAACTGGCAGAAATGAGGAGACAAGTGGGTTAACAGGTTAAATTAGTTTAAAATCAGAAGTGAAGTGAAAGGCAGAGCCCAATCTCTAGAAGAGGAGGCAAGATTATTTTTAACGGAGTGTAGCCAGTGTCAGGGGCGTGTTTCTGTCTGTGAGATGCTTGGGGCCCAGGGGAAGGATGTCTGCCTGCAGACCCAGGGAGCCCTTCATTCAAGACCAGGAAAGCCTGGGCCCTTCACCTTGCCCGCTCTCCCTGATGCACCTGTGCGGCATGACGAGGTTAAAGAACAGTTAGCCGTTGGAGGCAGGGGCACGACCTCAGGCAGGTTAGCGACCTCTCCGGGCCTCTGCCTCCTCACCTGCGTCACAGTGCAGGTGAGGGGAGGGCCAGACACCGCCCTGCACCGTAGTGTTTAGGACGGTGGCCGCTGGCATTGCCATCTGTGGGCCAGGCCAGGCCAGGCCGTGGTCTCTTCATCCTGGGGTCTTACCAAACCCCGTGCACCCGAACTCACCTGTGGGTCCCACCCAGGGAAGCGTGCCCCTCTGGCGGCTCCATTTCACAAGAAGGAAGAGACGGTCCTGTGAGAGGCCCGAGCACCACAGCAGTGAGGGGCAGAGTCAGGACTTGAACACGGGTCTCCTCGCACTGAGGCAGGGCGGTGAAGCGTGGGCGGAGTTTAAGCAGATGGAGAGGCCACACCCCCCCTCCACTTACCCCACCATCCTTCCTGGGGGCCCAGGCCAGGCTCCCACCGGTACTGTGGGGGTGGGGTTCCAGGCTCCTGAGGACCCATGGCAGGGGGCTGACAAGGACCCCCTCAAAGGCCCAGCTAACGCTGCACTTGTGTTTAGGAGCTGGAGTGAGTGCTGCCCACGCCTATTTCTCCAACTACCTGGAAGGGCTCCGCCCGCCTCCTCTGGCCCCCCTTGCCCAAGGCCATTGCATTGCCGGAGACCTTTCTGGAGCTTTTACAGCAGCTGGAGTTGAGCCACAGTGACAGCTGCGTTTGGAGCTGTCGCCACAACGAGCCTTGTGCGTCTCCCAAAACAAGCAACCAACCCTCCATCCGTGCACCATGCACACATTCGTCCCTCCATGCGTCCATCCATCCATGCATCCGTCCATCCATCCAGGCATCTGCCCATCCCCCTTCCATACGTCCACGGAGTGTATTCCACCTGGAATTCCACCAGGCACTCTGCTCCCCCTGCTGGTCACTGGGCTCGCGGCAGTGAAGGCATATTCATGTTGCGGGAGGGAGAGACAGTGCAGAGAAAACCCCTTCAGCAACTGCTCTCAAGGTGGGTGGAGGGCGGATATAATCCGCTCGTTCTGAACTCGTTCCGTCTCTGCCTCTCCCCGTGATAAGAAAACCACCACCAGTGAAATAACCGTTGCTGCTGGTGGGTGGAGCCCTCTGTGCGGGACCTTTCACAGGCGGTGAGCTCATTGCGCCATTGCAACAGCCCGACGGGGCCGGGGTGCTGTTGCCCCCGTTTTACAGCTGCAGGGCAGCCACACAGAACCTCAGCTCGGGATCACACAGCCGTTAGGTCAGGACTGGAAGACACTGAAACCCAGGTTCTCCGGGCTCCAGCGGCCTCCCCACCCCCTCTCCCCGGCCTTCGTGTGGCTCACTCCTCCGACATGCTTGCAAAAAGCCTACTGGGTGCCAGGCAGCAACTGAGTATGTTACTGTTTTCATCCTCCCAGAACTCCTCACGGCAGGTTTTTACTGATAGGACAGCTGAGTCTCAGCGACGGGAACGAGTCTGTCTGGTCACAGGAACGGTGAAGAGCGGAGCTGGGGTCAGAACCTGGGCCTGCTGCAGTCCGGCATCTGCGCTCTTCACAGTCTCACACCGAGCCTCCGTCTGTGAACTCCTACATACCCGTCAAGACCCAGTCTGAAAGTGACCTCTTCACGTGGTCATCCCTGACTCTGCGAGGCACAGTTTTCCCACTTCTGCGGTCCCGTTGTCCCTTTAGTGCGATATTAATTTGTGATTACGTGTTTACTTCTGCATCTTTCACCCTCTGCACAGTGAGCTCCCTGAAGGCGGGCTTGCCTGGCTCCCTTCCTTCAAAAATAATCTTGCCTCTTCCTCCAGAGATTGAGGTCTGCTTCAATTCTGATTTTAAACGAATTTAACCTGTTAGCCCATTTGTCCCCTTATTTCTGCCATTTACCACTAATCCAATTAGTGTGGGATGAGGACTCAGTCCCGGCAGAGCCAATGGAACGGGCGTTCTCAAAGTCACATCCACCCTCGGCAGTGTTGTGGACCCTGCCGTCAACCACTTCCTGCCCCCTTAACTCTGCCCCTCTACTGTGGACACCGGGGCTCTCTGACCGGGGCGTTGCCCCCTTATTAGGAGCACCAGCTGATGAATATCCACTGGCCATTAAAGTCCTTGGAACCCTCTCTTCAGGGACCTGCATCAATTCAGAAAGAACTAAGACTGAATTCCCGTTTAGAACGGGCCGTGGTGTGACTTCTGTGATCCCCCCATCAATCATATTAAGAACCACATTTTATGACTGCAAGGTCAAGTGCAACCCAGGGTGGCTTAGAGTCATTCTCTTTCTCTCTTTTCTCTTTTATCTTTTCTTTTCTTCTTCTCTCTCTCTCCTTCCTTTTCTTTCTCTCCTCTCTCCCCTCCCCCCTCCATCTTCCTCTCCCTCCCTCTCTCCCTCCCTCCTCCCTTTCTCTTCCTACAGGAGACGCAGCTTCAGGGGGTGGCGGGGGAAGGTGAGCTGGCCAAAGTCTGAAGCAGCAACAGGAAGCTGGACCCCTCTCTTCCCAATAAACAGGGGCTGGGGTCCCACACGCAGCCCCCACCCCTGCTCCAGTTGTTTGGATATTTCTCCAACAACAATCATGTCCTGCCCCGGGCCTCGACGTGCCACTGGCCACCAAATAGACGAAGGGTGACACCCACGGCGGCATTCCCAGGCACTGCGCCTGCTTCCTCGGGCTCCTTCCCCGTCATTGCCGGGCAGCACGGCGGGCCCCGCAGACTGCGTGTCATGGTGTTGTGGCCGCAGCGGGGCAGTGGCGCGGTGGAGGCACATCTGGTTGTGGTCAGGACACGAGGACAAGGGTGAGAAGAGGAAGAGGCAGCTGCGAACCTCATTTGGGGAAGTGGGGCTCTGAGGGGCAGAGGGAGACCAGGTGGCAGGGCTACGGGGTTTGGTTTCTTCTCTGCTTTGTGTCACGGGGAGCAACTCGGGCAGGGCAGTGGCTCCACGTGGCACAGGGCTACGTGTTTGGAGCTTTGGCGGCGGCCAGACCTGCCCCTTCGTTCCTCCAGCGTGGGCACCTCCGATGTCTGTAACCTCTGACAAGTCACTCCTCCGAGCTCCACTTCCTCGGCTGTAAAACACTGACCATTACCGTGGGGACTGGGCAGTGTCCGCAGTCACCACAGAGGAAGCTGATGGAAGAGACCGGACGTGCAGAGGGGGGGGACGATGGCGGAGCCCCACCCCTCAGCCGGCCCTGGAGGGCTTCACCCTGGACGCGGAACCTGGCTGCCTGGCGCTGCCGATGGCTGCATGTGCCTGCTGGCTGCTTCGTGCCGAGTGCGGTCAGAGAACGGGCTGGGGCTGGGACTTCACGGGGCTCACAGCACAGGCTGCGTGACTTGGTCGGGAGCCGCAGGCCATTAGACGGTCGTTTAATACCTGTCTGTATGCAGGGGGAAATTTGGCTTACGACTTGCTTCCATTACTTCCCGGCGGTACTTGGTGGTGCGGCTATCTCTCATCTCCGAGGTCACCCTCATCCGGCACAGGGACCTGAACACTGTGAATGACCAAACTGGCCCCAGTCCAGTCCCGGGAGGAACCAGAAATGGGCTTTGCGGGCGAGGGAAAAGGACCAGTACATTGAAAGAAGGGCAGAAGGGGGGGACCGAGGCGGTTAAGCTGAGAACATGGTGTGTCCAGGGGTAGGAAGGTTGTTATATCCTCGGATCAGTCCCTTCATCTTTCCAGCAGCAACCCCCAGAGATTGCTCAGTGACCGAAAGGCACCCAAGTCACCAGACCAAAGGGGACCAAGGGACCCGCCCTGCAACGAGCTGTCACCACAACCTGCGCTAGGACGCTTGTCAAGCCGGCCGTCACATCCTCTGTTCCTGGACGACCGAGGCTTCTCACTGAGGGCCCCCAGGTCAGTCCCTGAACGTGGACTGATTGGGCGACTGCTGCTTCCATTTTTCTTTGCAAGCCTCTGGGTGAGAGAATTCCTGTGGCTGAGCACCTGTCAGCGCAGAGAATGGAGCAGGTTCTTGAACTCTCCGTGAGAATGGCGCAGGTCTGCTTCGCATGGCGGGGGGGTTTGAATCCCAGCCAGGGCTCCATCCCCCAACCCTCAGGCCAGTCCGAGAGAAGTAAAGTGGAGAATAGGAAGTGTTTTGGGTCGAAAACAGCCCATTGTAACTGGATGTTCCTGTCCCAATAACAACATATTTGAGAAAGTTCTCTCACTTCAATATAGAATGACATCCTCATCAGCAATAACTTTGAAGAATTCTCTTTTGTGAAGCTAGTTAAAGATATCTGTTAGATGCAGTAATAGGCCCTTTTCTCCTTGAAGGTGTGTCATTCAAAAGGGAAGGACAGTTTTTCATAAAAGGTGAGAACTGCTAGTTTTCAGAATAACCCAGGAGAGGGAAGTGGGAAGGTGTATTCCTCAGGACAGACAGACAGACAGACAGATTCTGATTGAGAAGATCTGGGGCAAGGCTTGAAGATCTGTATGTTAGACACCTCCCTAGGGATTCTCGGGACTTGAGGCTGTTGGGACAGACAGGGTACACGGCGTCTCGGCAGGTAATTCTGCAACCACTTACATGCCAGGCCAGCTGCTGGGAAGACAGAACAAAATTCAGCCGGTGTCATAGGATGGCACAGAAATCTTCCACCCAAGGACGACCATGAGGTGGTATTTTTTAAAAAGTCCCTTCCAAATGAAAAGACACCACCACCTTCTGCATGAATCCAGGACACTAACTCCTTACCTTCATCTAAGACTTTGGCAAGAGTGTAGTTTCCAGAGTCGTTATTCTGGCGTCTGGGCAATTCAAGATAATCAGTCAGAAATGGCTCTGAGATGCAGAAAAGGGATTCAGCTCTGGGAGGCACTGGGATCTGGTAACAGTGGCAAAGCTGGGTGGGGACACAAGCCCGGCTCCAGGGGAGGGCCTCTTCCCTGTCCTTGAGCGCTCCAGCTCAGGGGGACATTATTGGGAAAAATCACCTGGAGGGCTTGTCAAAACACAAGTCCTGCCTTCAGAGCTTCTGGGTCCTTAAGTCGGGTTCCAGAGCAGAGAATCTGCATGTCCACTCTCAGCAGGACGGCCTCGGGGCCACGGCCAGGACCTGCTGGGGACCTGGGCCTGGAACTGGAGTTGCAGCTGTAAACTAAGTTCACGGCCCACACTGAGGCGTGACGGGCTGTGTGCAGGCTTTGGGAAAACCTTGTTTTGTTTAACTTCTTACTTCAAGATACATTTAGGCTTATAGTCGGATTGTTAAAACAGTACAGAGAATTCACCCACATACCTTTCACCCAACTTCCCTTACGCTAACATCTTACGTGAGCACAGAGCAATGCTCAAAGCCAAGAACTTAACCCTAAGACTGGTATTAACTAGACTGCAAGTTTTTGGATTTTGCCCCCACTTCCCACTCATGTCCTTTTCCGAGATCCAACCCGAGTTGCCACGTGGCCTTTCGTTGTTATGCCTCCTTAGTTTCCTCCCGTCTGTCACGTAAGCACATCGGTCTGCTCACCTTTGTTTGGTGGGATGTCCCTCACTTTGTGTGTTTCCCCATGATGAGGCTGAAGTTAGGTGTCATTGGGAAGGAGGTCACAGAGCTGCTACGCCCTTCTCAGGATGTCATCTCAGGTGGTGTGTGACACTGGTAGGTACTACTGGTGATTAATGTGGTGTCTGCCAGAATTCTACACGGGAAAGTCACCATTCTCCTCTTTCTAATTACTAAATATTTTGGGGGAGATCCTTTGAGACTCCAAATATCCTGGTTCTGCGTAAACTTTAACATCACTAATTTTAGCATCCACCAGTGGATCTCCTCTGTGGCAATCGCTCCTTTGCTGTTCTGATGGCCATGCTCTATCTCCCTAATTCCTTCTACGTCTACTAAGTGGAATTCTTCTGTAGGAAAGAGTTGCTTCTTCGGTGGATGAAGATCTCTGCTGTTGTGGCTGCACAGCCCTACGTTCAGACCCAGTGCTGCTCCTTAAGACACTTCTGCTGCTGGGCACTGGTGGCATCGTACAGGGAGTATCTCGGCCTGAAGAGGGCGCAGCTGTGCTGCTGCGGTGTGAGAGCTCACCTCCTCCCTTGGAGGCCTGGGTTCTCCTGGCTGTGCCCCATCAGCCCTGAGATCTCAGACAAGGAGCGGCCACTCCGTGCCCATTTCCTTGTGCAAACAGCGCAGAGATGGGATGGGGTGGTCGCTAAGGGTCCTTGCAGCTCTGCTGCCGTCTGCCCGACGTTTACTTTTCCTTAGGCCGGGCTTCTCCTTTGTCTCCTTTGCTGTGCCCGTCTGTCCCCTTCATTTCTGGAAGTACTGTGTCTGCATCACTCTTATCACATACAAAAACAGCTATGTCTTTTTAACTCTGCTGTCATCCCCAGAACATTTTCTCCTGCACGGGGGAAGACCAACAGTCCTTGTTCCTCGCGTGGACACTTTAGCTGCTTGGGAGGTCGTGTAACCAGAAGTGTTACAATCCCGGAAGGCAGAACCGAAACAGCTCAGACGAGCGGTCAGACTCTTTTCTGGCCTAGAATCCAGCCATGAATCTAAGATGATCCTCCTGTCGCCAAAGGTTAATGTCCTGCTTCCTTTCTGTCTGTGTAATACATACCTGTTTAATTAGTCACCCACTCCCACTGCCCGTAATTAGCACGCACGTCATCTTAGTTAATAAAATGAGGATTTATTGAATTTTCGGTTGTAATAAATAGTCAGCCATGATCTTTGCAATGGGCCCCAAGCTCTGGTAGAAATGGAATGGTCTCTGTGACCCATGGAAAGGAAAACGTTAAATTATACTCTCTAGTTTCAGAGTGAGCCTCCCACACCACTTCGCTGCAGTTTGAGGGCCTGACGCTGAATTTTGTTTTCTTAGCGCACTGAGGTGCCAATAACACCTCAGCCAAGCATTAAGATCTTTAAAATGAAAGAAAGAAAAAGCAGAAAGCAGAGGAACAGGTAAAGAGTAAAATAGATGGTTGGTTGCCGTGGCCACGGCACCACAGCCAGGTCTGCTCTGAAGGCAGCCCAGAGCCCTGATACATTTTCAAACAGTTCGTTTTGTTTTGTTTTGTTTTGTTTTGTTTTGTTTTGTTTTGTTTTAAGTGGCTGGGAGAGGAAGCGAATTCAGCTATGCAGAGTTCCTGGGGAGAATGAGGATCTTCAGGATTTTTATGTCCAAATAAAGGACAGAGCAGCAGGAAATCAAGCCGTCCCTTCACCCAGCCCCTCCCCCAGGCCACCACAATCCTGGAGCAGAAAGAATAAAGAAACAGGGCCAGGTCTGTGCGGTTTGCGTTTAAAAGACTGAGTTGAAATGTAAGAATAAAGATGAGGAGAAAGGCCTGGCTGCTTCGGCTTCCCACAGCCCTCAAAACTGGCTGCTTGTTGGAGCCTAGAAGATGCGGTTTCTGGAGCCGGCCTTAAAGAAGCCGGTAGGAAGAGCTCCAGAACCAACCCAGCCATGCGCAGAGCTGAACTGGGTGACAGTCCCCCCTGTGGCTACTCTCCCCTCGGCCTCCTCTGTCCTACCTGTCCCCACTCGTCTCTGCCAGCCTGTTGTTCATTATCGCAAAGGCTCCCACTCCGCCTGAGAATTCATTGTCCCTGTGCAGAGAGCCGGTCTGGTGGGGGCAGCCGTTGGCTGCCTCGGGCAGCTGCTTCTGCAGGATGGGCAGTGAGGCCCTGTTGGCTATCGGGCAGTCCTTCCCGGAGATTCCCTCCCCAGAGGGACTCCGCCCGTCCAGGTCACTCTCCAACACCCCGTCCGTTTCAATGGAGACGCTGCACGGGTTCTGGACGTTGCCCGGCATGATCACGTTCCTCCGCGACCGCGGGAGCCCGCTCTGGCACTGCTGGCAGCAGCCGCCACCCACCTTCCTCAGGATCCAGTTCACGGACTGTTTGATGAGGATGGAGATGACATTGAACAAGGAGTAGATGCAGCAGACGCCCATGAGGATGAAGACAAAGTTGGCGAAGCGGTAGACGCCTTGGCTCTCGTACTGGGCGTTCTGGCTGCTGACAAGGTCCCCGAAGCCGATGGTGCTGAAAGCCACGAAGCAGAAGTAGAGCGAGTCGAAGTAGCTCCAGCCTTCGACGGAGCTGTACATGGCGGAGGCGCAGCAGGAGATGAGCAGGGAGGCCAGGCACAGGATCAGCATCACGTAGTACACGGAGGGCTTCCAGCCGGCCAGGCCGTCCGCCTCGGACCTGCCCAGGTTCTTCAGGCTGTCCTGGGGCAGCGCCCTGCGTCTCCGCAGCTGCCGCTGGTGGCAGGACTTCATGATGTAGGCGATGACGGTGATCAGTCGCTCCAGGAACAGGTTGAAGAACAAGATGGTGCTCGCACACCCGATGAGGCCGTAAAAGATCAGGAAGATTTTTCCTCCTACTGTCCCCGGGGTCGTCATCCCAAACCCTGCAGGGAACAAAAGTCAGAGGAGACAGGAGTGAGGGAGGGCTTTGCTGGGAGTGGGGGGTAGGGCCTTGGCTTGGATGTGGGCAAAGCACGCAGTCCCGGTCCTCCTGGCAAGGAGGGGCACGTTCTTGTCTCCTTTTGAAGATGCTGGGGGATGTTCAGGGCTGCAGCCCCTGTGCAAACCTCATCCTCAAGGGTACAGCCAGGGACCGGTGAAGAGCACACGGGCTGGACTTCAGCCTCCCCACCCACTCTGCTAGCTGACCTCGCACAGCGCAGAACCTGAACAACCACACTCAACAGGCATTGTTCGGAGAGGCAGACGAACACTGATCCACAGACAAGGCCGGCAGGGACGCATCAAAATTCACTTGCTCTATAAGCTTCCCAGGTGCCGTTCCAGGGACGAGTGATAGAACTGTGGAAGGGGGGGGTGCTCTAGTCTAGGGATGCGATTGCTCGATTGGGGTAGATGTTATGCTGGAGGAGGAACAGGACCCCATGGGAGCTGCTCGGGGGGAGCCCATCTCAGATTTGGGGTTCTGGGCAGATGAAGCGGGGGAGTCGAAAGGTAAGGAGGAGTGAGGCAGAGAGGAGGTCGTCAGTGTGCGGCGGGATGGGGGGGGGCTGTCCTGGGCAGAGAGACAGCGGACGCCAGCATGGGCCGAGTTGAGAAATGTGCTCAACATTTCCTCATTTTTGAACAACATTCTTCCAGCACCCACCTCATGCTCTGGAAATGAAATCTGAGGTGTGGGTGGATAAAATATAAAACGTCTCTCTAGCTTTTGTCTTGCCCTCTTTGCAACTCCCACCTCCTTGACCTGTCTACCCACCCACACAGACGCGTTAATGAGCACACCAACTGTAGGACAATGGGCGTCGCTAAGAACAATGAGAAACAAACACGAGAGCAGGGACGCCTTTGCCGAGAACCAGAAAAGAGCTTTCTTGTGTAGCAGGAGATTCAAATGGGCGAATGTTTTCTTTTCCAAAGTCTTCCTGTCCCATCCCAGGGGCGACCACTAGTTCCCTCTTGGAGAGGGGGCAGCGGTGGTTTTTACCAGCGGCTCTCTGCCATCGATAACAGTGGTAATTGATTGAGCACCTGTTCAGTTCAAGAGCCTGTGCAGGGGTTTGGGTCACACAAAGACGACCCTGTACAAGGTCCTGGACCTCAAGGAGAGCAGCATCCAGGCTGAGACAGATCTAGAAAACAAGGGACTGTGAATCCAGGCCCGGAACAAAGGCACGGTGGGGCTACCCTGGCTTCGGGGTCCTGGCTGCAGCCCCACGGGGGAAGAGTGAGTGACCTGGGTGCAGTCAGGGGTGCGGGCGCAGCCCGTCCACAAGCCCAGCAAACCGGTTTTCCAATGAACGAGACTTTTTGCACTTTTGCGACCTGTTTCAGAGATCTAACATTTCTAGATCGTCTCTTGTTATTTGGTTTTAAAACACTCAGTTTTATTAAAGAAAGGACAGTCCATGGCTTTTGATTACCTGCTGCATTGGACTGACCACCGCCACCTTTTCAATCAGCAAAAATAAGAGAGAATGGTGCCAACGGCGGTGTCCACGGAGCACCGGCAGGCAACCCCCCGATGTCTGCAGCTGGAGGGGTTTCCATAGCTTTCACCACTCTCGGGCTCCGAGTGTGTAAGCTAATAATTCAGTCTTTGTCACGGGAAACTCCCTCTTCCTGAGCTCGAGATGCAGAGCATCAGGGCTGCCTTGGGTTGAGGGTACTAAGCCTCAGGGCCCCCCTTGCTGGAGGAAAGGACACAGGCACACTTGAAGGCCTGGTCTCGGGCCCGTGACCCCGACGCCTCGCACCCACACTGGGGAGCTGGGTGCTCATTTCTAGTCTGTTGGTCCCGTTGGATGAATGAGAAGGAGAAGGACGCAGTAACTTGCCCAAGGATAGACAGCCAGACTCAGAAGCACGATTTGTTTGGTCCCCACCAAAGTACCAACAATGTGACTAATCAGGCACATTGACGCTCGCCAAGTCTTGTCTTTCACTAACGAAATCCTCGGCAACACGCGTATCCTAGGGAGAGTACAGCCTAAAAGGTAACAGGGAAATGACTAAGTAGTGTGGCCATTAACACCAGCCCACTGCCATTGTGTACACAAGGAGTTTTTAATGACTGGAGACCCTGCTAAGTGGGGAGAAGACAGAACTGAGCGTGTCCACGCTGTGGCTCCAGCCGGCTGCCGGGCCAGCCTCGCCCATCTATCTTGCACGGGACTCGTTTCTTCCATGGAGAATGATCTCTAACATTTCTTATGCTGGCCGATAGGCCCTGTGGGGTAGATTTGATGGCAATATTTACAGTGCTATTTAATAGCCACCTCTTGAGAATGGATTCCAGAGCAGACCCTTCCTGAAGGCTATCCGCCTGAGGGGTACGAACTGACGTTGCCTCGCACGGACACACCCTGCCCTGATTGTAATGAAGCGTGTTTCGGGGACGTGACCACCCAGACAGGAGAGCGACACCGGAAAACGCTCACGTTAACGCCCTCACGTCCAGGTTCTCATCTGACGAACCAGGGCATGAGCCCTGTAACTGGAAGCTGTAGTTGTGTGCCCAGTGCGGACAGGCTGTGTAAGAGACCATCTCCCTCCCCTCCCACGGCTGCAGCCCCTGTGCGCCAGCAAATCCGAGCTGATGACGCGAGCCCTGGCCAGCGAGGCTCAGTGGGTTGAGCGTTGTCTTGTGAAGTGAAAGGTGGCTGGTTCGATTCCCAGTCAGGGCGCATGCCTGGGTAGTGGGTTTGGCCCCTGGTTGGGGGGTGAATGAGGCAACCGGTACATGTCTCTCTCACACATCGATGTTTTTCTCCTTCTCCTTCTCCCTCCCTTCCCTTCGCTCTAAAAATAAATAAAATCTTTAAAAAAATAAGCTGATGACCCAAAATCCTTTTTCAAGACCTTATAAACCCCGCCCCCTGCTTTGTTATCTGAGGATGTGCTACACAGAAGGGAAGAGAGGGAGAGAAACATCAGCATGAGAGAGAAACATGGATCAGGTGCCTCCCATTCGTGCCCTGACCGGGGGTGGGGGGCCAAACCCACCACCCAGGCATATGCCCTGACCGGGAATCCAACCCACGACCCGTCGGTATACAGGACGATGCTCCTACCGTCGGGGCACATTGGCCAGGGCGATCTTACAAACTTTTCAAAGTACCTTCCCCCACCCAAACACTGGTAATTGGGTTCCACAAGCTGGAATTCAGCCGATAACTAGAACTTCCCTTTGGCTCACCGGAATTTCACACTGTGCCATGTCTGTGTTCATCATAACTTCCCTGCTGTGAACTAAATAGGAGCAAACCCTATGAGTTAATAACATCAAGCTAAGAACGCCTCTTCTTCACAGCCAGCCACTGGGTAGTTAGGGAGAGGGCCCAGCGGGGTGTGAGCCTCCGGCCCCGTGGGTTTTCCTCCCAGTCCTGCCCATGTGTTAAACCTTTTGGGTTCTTAGGCATAAGGCCATTCGCTGTTTCTTTCAGTGGTTTGAGGCGGGCAGGGTCGTGTCATAGGAAGAATGATAATGGGGACGACCATTCATGAGGACGGAGTTCCTGCTCTGAGCTGGGCCCTGGGCTTAGTACTTTACAGAAAATCACTCCTTCGGTCCTCATGCCGACCTTGAAGGGGAAACCTGAAATACAGAGCGGTCAAGGAACTTGTTCCAGGTCACGCAGCTAGTTAGCGAGGGGCCTGGGTCCTAGTTCAGACCACGACTAACCTAGGTGTGTAATGGTCAAGCTTTTCCTGGTTGCCCCTTTGGTAAAACGAGGGAAGGGTAGCCCAGATAAACTCTAAGGACCTTCCAGTTCCAACATTCTGTGATGTGTGTGCAGGACAGAAATCTGAGCTCACTCTACTTATCTGATTGCCCCAGGATTCTGGGGGAGCTCCCCTTGGGTGTCTACGGCTCCCCTTCTACAGGCCAGGCAGGTGAATCTAAGTCTGCCTGAAGAACGGTTCTACCTGTGACTGCACCACAGCGACATCACAGGCTGACTGAGCATTTCAGAAGGTGTCGAGGAGGGGGAGGGGGAACCTGGCCACAATGTGCCGGGGCTGGCGTCCCACAGCCGTCTCGGGGTGTGTGCAGAAGTTAGGAGTCCTTCCAAAGTTGAGGGTATGTTTGGGAATTTGCTATTTTGAGGGTTATGACTCCTCTCTCATTCTGTTAACAGTAAAGCATCTTTGGCAAAATATTAGGAAATCAGAGGCAGTAAAGATTGAACTATTTTCCTGGTAACTTCCGAAGTAACCATTTTCTAGACGCTTCAGCAATAGTAGATTATAAGTAAAAATAAATTACTTCTTATCCTAACTGTGAAGTTGAGAACTAGGCTGTGACAAAGAACTCTTTAAATCATGCCCATTACTACAGGTCACAGTAGTGTTTATACTCAGAAGGCAGCAAGAAATGAGCATCCAGGGATGCTGCACCCATCAGCTCCCGTGGAGAAACGTTGCAGATTTCATCTCCCCAAGAAGCATGTGGAATCGTGACCTTGAGCGCTGCGTGCTGCTTTCTCCAGCCCTTTCTTCTTCACCGCCCCGTAGTGCAAGGGCGGAGATAAGTGCTGTCGCTACTTCGCTGGAATTCAAAGGGAGGGGGGGTAGGGAGGCACCACTGACTCAAGTAGGTTTTTCAGTTTCAGAGCTACTTAGCTTTTAAATCATGAAACAGCTCCACAAAAGCCAGCATGTTTGTTTTTACAATTACGTTCTCTCCTGAGCAAAACTGCTCTGCCCCAGACCCTGAAGAAATGATCCAATAGAGCAGGACATTGCCACCATGCAGGGCGCGTACCTGGTGAGAGGCTGCTTCCTCAGCCCCTGGGAGCAGATCTGGCCGCAGGACATTTCAGGAATTAGGAAGATGCTACCTGTGTGTGTCCTGACTGCGCTCAGCTCACCCCAACACCCTCCCTGCGCCCATGGTGGCCTGTGGCATCCTGGTGCTCCC